AAACAAATATATAGTTTATATAAATATCAATTAAAAAATTATAATATAAATACATATAAATAATAAAAACAAAATTTAAATAATAAAATAAAACGGACAAAAAAATAAATTTAAACCAAATTTAATTTAAAATATAAAAAAAATAAAAAAAATGAAACACACTAATAAAATAAATAGAGCATAAATATAGTTTAAATAGTAGTAAACTTTTGAATTTGAATTATTGATTATATGATATAAATAATATGATATTTTGAACATAAATTTAATTTTAATATAATATAAAAAATAAAAATAAATATTTGAAGCACTTTACTTTTGCTATTTTTAAAATATTTTATAAGTAGTAGTAATATAATTTTATTGAACACTAAATATTGAGAATGATGATAAAAGTTGGATGTGTTTGTTTGAGATTTTTATTTTGAATTTTGATTTTGAATAGTTATTTTATATGACATAAATAAAAATTAATATGATATTTAAAATGTAAAATTAATTTTAGTGTAATATAGAAATAAAAAATAGAATTTGATTTGATATTATTTGAGGAGAAAAATCTAAATAGAAAAATTAAATAAAGTCAGCTAAACAAAAACATCATTTAAATTTTATGTAAAATAATATATATATATATATATACTCCATTTATTCTCCAATTTACTTTAATTTTTTTTTATATATGAGCATATATTTACTACTTGTCATTACATTTATTATATTATCTCTTTATTAATATTAATTAGGGTGCATATTCATTCGGTTCTATTCAAATCAAACCAAACCAAAATTTAATTTTGGACTGATATTTTATTTATAAAAATTGAGATAAAAATCAAATCGAAAATTTCCAAAACTGAATTAAACCAAACCGATCCTAATTAGTTCGGTTTAAAACCGAACAAACCAAAATTTGGTTTGTTAGGTTTACTTTATTAATATATACTAATATTCAAAATTATAATAAATAATATTATTTATTAATATATATTTTGAAGTTCGGTTCTTCTAGTCAAGTGAAATTAAAAATTAAGAATTTATAGTCGAACTTAAACCAAAATTTATAAATTTTATTTTGATCAAACCGCACCAGTTAACCGAACAGTCTAAACCGAAAAAATAAAATTAAAGTAAATTATCCAAAAATTAATTTTTATATTATCAACGTGTTTCACCGTATTTAACATAAAAAATACTTCAAAACACGAAACTAATCCACCCAAATTTAAATATGTTGGCGCATTTATGATTTTGGATGATGTTATCCGAGTGAAAATATCACATCAATTAATAATCAGACAATAATTATATTGAAAGTTAGAATAATTTAGTCCGATGAATTTTACGATTGAACTAGAGAAAGTTCTTCAAGAATAGCAATGAGGCTTAAAATTGTTATTTATAGCAACGATGATGGTTCGAAAAAAATTCCTTTATGAATTATTTAAAAATATGTAAAGCCACGTTGCTTAAAAAATATCAACATGAGCAACATCAAATTTCATTATCGTGCCTACAAGCAGGGCCGTCCCTGGGCCCGGGCGAAAGGGGCGATCGCCCCGGGCCCAATCTAAATTGGGGTCCATTATTTATTTATGTTATATATTTATAATTTTTTTTATATACAAATTATTTTACATTAATATATTAATACATAAGCATGGCCTAGTGGTTAACAAAATATTATTTATACATATTTATGTACCCTAATTTTTGTTTTAACATTGTTAACATTAATACTATTATTGATATTTTATCTAAAAATTCTGAAAAAATTATTTTATTTAATAACTTATATTCTATTATAGGTAAAAAAATTCGGAGTAGATCATTTATATATATTTAGGGATCTTTTATTTTTGTTTTAATTATTTTATTGCACTATAAAGATAATAAATATTAGACAAAATTATTATTATCATAAGGCAAAATTATCAATAACTAGGCTTTATGATTTCGAAATTCAGTGTAATTTCTCTATATACTTTAAAAATGACACGAACCTCTTATACTTTAAAAAATGTTCCATGAAACTCATTTTTATATTTTATTTTTTTGTGATGAGAAGATGACTTTTCATCTATATTTTTTGCACGGCGACGGTTTCATATAATGTTTGTTAAAATATAAGGGAGCGTACGCAATTTTTAAAAGTTATGTTAGAAAAATTATATATATATTTTTTATTTATATTTTATTATAGGTAAAAAATAACATATATGTATATATATATTTAAGGACCTCTAATTTTTATTTCGCCCCGAGCCCTTCAAAAGTCAGGAATGGCCCTGCCAACAAGAGGACATAGACGACTAGTTTGGTTTTTTTATGAATATGTTCGTTGGTTTGATCACAAAATGAATGACAGAATAATTTAATGGTGACAATTATCTAGTCCATCTATAAAATATTAAAGGGTTATGAAATGTTGAGTTGTTTAGTTTGCCACATAACATGACATTAAAGATTTAATCATATGATGCAAAAATAATTAGAGTTTTCAAGATGCACTATCGTAGGAAGTTCTACAAAAATCTATCGGAAGGTCATGACTTGGGATTATTTAATTCTGAAAAGATTTAATATTTTAGATATCATCAATTTTGTGTCTCCACTCAGACAACCAATGTTCCTCGAGTGTCAATAGCAAATTATTTTCGACATTGCAAAATTTGTTCAAATGAATAAATCTCAATCGATTCAAGTAAGACAAACTTTGAAGAAAACGCTACATAAGCTTGAGAATATGATCAAAAATGTTGGTTATCGTAATAAAATGAACATCTACAAAATGGTGAACTATTTGGGTGAAAATGATTAATGTTCAACGGTTCAAAATTTAGAGGAAATTGTTACTGATATTATTTAAGATTTTGCTAATGATGAAACTAATGATTCAATACTGTTGACAACAAATGAGATTTTAAGTACGACAACAACTCTTCACAATTTTTGTTGCAGCTAGAAAATTCGATTACGGAACTCTTCGCAGCAATGAAAAATATTACGGATAAAATCTAATTAGATTTAAATTTTAAGAAAAATAAAGTAACCATAAATTCATATTTTAGCAAATCACCTTAATATTTATAATTATAATATTTACCAATGATTAATTTAGAATTTTACTGGAATTTTAAATTTATAAAAGATTTTTCTAAAAATTTATTATTCTATTATTGTTTACAAAGATCCAAATCAAGACCAAAAGATTTTATTATTTTATATTTATTAATTTATAGAGAATGTATTGTAAATAACACCTAAAGTTATTTATTAATATTATTTTTTATTTGATATGAAAGACACAAGGGTGCGTTTGTTTGGGGGTTTGAATTTTGAGTTAAGATTTGAATAGTAAAAATTTTGAATTTGAATAGTTGTATGATGTGATATAAATAGGTGTTGATGTGAAGTTTTGAATGTAAAATTGATTTTTAATATAATATAAAAAATAAAAAATAGGTGTTTGATTTAACATTTTTTTTTTGAGAAAAAATAGGATGAATAGTGTAAATCCAATCCAATCCCCAAACAAACACACCTTGACACAATCATTAATAAAATAATAAAAAATTCTTAAAAATATTTTATGTTAGCAATAATAACAGATTAGAGGCAACTCAAGATTGTTTGTTTTGTAAAATAATTTAAAATAATAATGTTCTTCATGGGAGATAGTATAAATAATATAAAAAATTATAAATATTTATAATACTCCATCCATTCCACATAATTGAACCCTTTGATTAGGAGCACAGTATTTAAGGTAAGGATGTTTAATTAGTTAATAATAATTAGTTATGATATTATGATATTATTTTTTATATAATTAATAATTTGCTATATAATTTTTAAATATTTAAACATATATTTAAATTTTTTAATCATATATATAATTTTACTTTAAAATTATAAATTAAAAAATATATGGAATATGAATATCATTTTGTAGATAATAAAATCTTCTGTATTTGTAATACAAGTAAATAAAAAAAATATTTTTGTTTATTTATAATTAACATAAATCAATTTTGTAAAAGATGTGTAGTTTTAAATATAGATAAACATATTTATTTTTTTGAAGAGAGAGGTAGAAATAAAGGGGTTTTGAGTGGATCTACGTCATTTACGATGTTATATAGTTAATTAAGTTAATTTATATTTGTTAAATATGTTTTGGTTTAATAATTTTTACCAAAAATATAGAAATGTGTCAATTGTTACGGGACAGACAAAAATAAAAATAGTGTCAATTGTGGTGGGACGGAGGGAGTATATTATTTTATTTTAGAAAATATGAGTTTGTTTGTTTTGTCAAAAAAATTTAATATATTTATTTAAAAAAAAAATATTCATTCCGTCCAGCGAGAAAGTATACACATTTCTATTTTGGGACGTCTAATTACAAAGTAAACATTTCATTAAATACTTCACTTTTTTCCACAAATATCCTTACTTTGCATCACATCATTATTTTTATACCAAAAAGTAAAAACAAAAATATCATTACATTACTTTTAACTACCGACTATAATTAAAATATTATTATTTTTTAAACACTGCGCCAAAAGTAAATATATACTTTATTCGTGGACGAAGGGAGTAATATACTATACACACATTTTAAAGGAGTAATATACTATACACACATTTTATTTTATATTATCTATATATTTTTTTTATATTTTACCTCAAAATTATTTTTTTTCCCCTTCAAAAATTAAAAATAAAACAAACACACACTAGATATGTTGTTTTTACAAAACAAGCAAAGCACTTGCCCTTTACTTGCTTATTTTATTTTATTTTATTTTTATTTTTATTTTTGGTCCTGGTAGTATGGGACTTTCTTTGTGTTTGAATTTTTAATATTAATTATTATAGCGATATACAATACAAAATATTTTATTTTTTATAATACAAATATAATATTATTTATGAAGTAAATTGCAGATATATAAATATTTTTAATATTAATAAAAATTAAATGTTACTGATTTGATTGGTTGGATAGTAATTTTCCAAGGATTTTGTAGGAAGTGAATATGTGGAACAGTGGAAGGGCAGAAAGGGCAACTCCACCACCAGCCACCAGCGCCGCCGCCTCTTCTCTCCCCCTTTCTCCACCAGCACCACCCATCGCCACCGCTCCCAGCCTCGTCTCCCTCAGCCACGCTAGGCGTCGCTCACTGTCGCCCTGAAGCCGCCGCCTTCCACCGACGCCTCCCCTCTTCACCTCCGCGCCGTCGCTCCTTCTCTCTTGCCCTGAATTCCAGCGCCGCCGCCTTCGTCCGACCGCCGGCGAAAATCCTCAGCCACAATTACAGGCCAATTTGAGTGTTGATTCTATCTCCTATCTTCTTCATCAATCGATCGTGAGGTAAATTTTTTTTTTCCTATTGCGCTTAATTTGAAGTTGGTGTTGATTTTCTTTCTGGAGGAATTTTGATTGCCTGAACCTCTACATATCTGTGTTATTGTTGACCTTTATTTTGTTGATATGAACTTATATTGTGTGGCTAAGAGCTTTGTTGGTTGTGAATCTATTCTATTTTATCCTTGGAATTCTTGGTTGCTTGTTAAACTTTTAGATTGCTGTGTGTTATTGAGATTATTCTGATTGATTGAGGTTAATATTGCATAGGGAATCACTGTGAATTGAATTTGGTTAAGCACTAAAAAAGGTATTTGTTCGAGCGTCATTAACAACTCCTTTTCTGTTAATTCTATTTTCATTTGAATTACTCGTTTGAAAGATTTATTATTGACGAGCTATAGCAATTGCATCTGTTAAAGAAATTAAAAGAATTATTGAAATGAATTCAAATGGAAGATAAAAAATCTGTTGGTAAATGAATTCCAATTTGTTAGACTCTTACTTATCAGATCTTGATCTAGAATCTGATTTGATTCTGTAGTCCAAAGGATCCTATACCATGACGTATCTTTGGAAGGTTTGTTCTTGGTTGTTGGTTTGTTTTGTAGTGCCCATGGCAAAGAGATGTAATAAATTATCTCATGCTATTCAATCTAAGTAGGAATCCTTCCAATCATTTGTGATGCATTGTCGAAAAAAGTTCGCATCTTCTTGTTCATCCTGCTGCTGCTGACGCCAGTTGTTCAGGTACATTTGAAAGAAATCATTATTGATTCCCGTTTGATGGTGTATTTCGAAACCGGTTGGGAATGTCTAAGTTAGTTCATAAATTTCGACGAAATTGGTTATTCTATCGATTCAGTTGTTAACCTCCAGTTTTTGCAGATCTGTAGGTACCGGCAACAAACCTTGATTTTGAATGTTTCGTCGAGGTATGCTGGCTGCCTTCTTCTTTTCTTGTTCTTCTTAGAACAATCAGTTTGATTTGAATTTTTATTGATTGATAATATCTAAGAATGAGCTGAGGAGGAGATAAATGAAATTAAAATTGTTGTTGCGGACCATAACTGGTTTCCATTTGATTTTGAATTACCCACCTTGCTTTGCTCCTAATTCCTATTTTGCAGCACTTAAATGTCTGGTTTATTTGTAGTAGTTTGATGTTAGTGTTATGAACAATTATCTTCCCTAATTATCTCAATTTTACTCTGAATTTGGGTGCCATTCCAACCATATCCATTTTGCTCAAAAGTTGCAGCAATGGTTTCGAGCCATTGCACTTTTTTTGGAGCTAGAAACGGAACTTGTTGTAGAGAAGTGTATTTAAAAAAATAGTATTAGGTGATTAAGATAGAGCTTGCTGGAGGTGGTGTAAGTTTGTTTAAGTTAGCATTCCCATCCTCCCTTGTTATTCGGGTGTGTTTCTTTTGTACTGAACTTCCAAATTTTACTATTTGGACTTTGCTTTTCCTGAAAAAAATACTTCCTCCGTCCCATAACTAGGTATCCGTTTGCTTTTTACACGTAGTTTTAGAAATATTAGTATTATATTGAGATGGAGTAGGAATAAAGGATAAATGACTAAAATAACCTTATTAGTATGGTGTGATATAAAGGTAATGACATTTGTGCAATATATTGTAAGTTGTAAGGGTAATTGTAATGTTAGGTAGATAGTACAATTACTAAAAAGGAAAATGGATACTTTGTTATGGGACGGACTAAAATGGAAAAATTGATAGTTTGTTATGGGACGGAGCTGAGTAAAATTTTTTCATCTCACAAAATATCTCATCATACATTATTTTAATACTAAACCCAAACTAAAATTCTCCAAATCAAATCAAAAGAAACACACATGCTTGTGAGGTAATAGAATTAGTAAGTCCCCTCTGTTCTGCCTTCCGAATTCTGGAACACATGGGACACAATTTCATGGTCACCTCATCCTGTTATCCAATAATTTGCTTAAATGGAATCCATGATCCGAGTTTTCATTAAATCTTTTTAATTTATAGCAGGAAAAAACATCTTGGAACACAATTCTGTATACAGTTTGAAGTGCAAATTAGTTCTTTACATATTGTATATGTGAATTGTGCATGACAATTACACATGTTGGTGGAAACTACACTTGGAGGTTCTAATGTATGTATGAGTGTTACAAGTAGATACAAGACATTTCCATGCTAGTTAACCTTGAAGAGGGGCAAAGTTGATAACAGGTTCCACTTGCACGACTAAAATTACATATATATATATTTGTAGAATATGCTGGACATAATAGTGGGTTTTTTTCCATTCAAAGCAAAGAAAGTACACAGTATAGTGCATTTAATAGTTTCATCTTGCTAAGCGAACTATATTTCAATGTGTTGACAAAATATAAAGGTATTGCCTATAAGTTCATTTCTGATAAATATACAAAAGATCTCCTTCGTAACAATGCTTTGGCTGGTTTCAAATGCTCGGCACATTAAAATTTATAGCATCAATGATCAGCTTGGCGACATTAAGTTCATGAAACTCAGCTCATCTTTTTAGTTACTGTTATTTATTACATGGTTAATGTATATTATCTAACACTGAATGTAAGTCCAATCTTACAAAATAAATATAACTTATGTGAAGAGATCAGTTCATGTTCTTAACTAACATTTACAAATGTTCCCAAATGAAGGCTTGAGCTTGTTTGTGAATGCAATGGACTGAAGTTTGTGTTTGAGTTTAACTTGTTAGCTTATTAAAGTAGTTATTAGTAAGTGTGAATAAGTTGAATCAAAATAAATTCACGAACAATATGTTTGTTTGACCATTCTTCCATTGTTGAACAATTTACTTACTAGTAATATATCTTTAGATGGATATCAATTGATGTGTCTCACTGTGTATATACTTACTCCGTCCACCGGAAATGTTTACATTTACTTTTTTTTGTGTAAAGATTCTTTTACCCCTTGGGTTTTAATTTGATATATAATAGTAATAATTAATATAAATTAGTGTAAATTTGTGGACATTCATAATGTGTACTGAGTCACACTTCCTACTGGCAATATGTGTGTTAGGATCGGCTTTTTTTTCTTTTTTCTTTTTTTTTTTATTTCTGAAAAAAACAAAAATGGCATATGTTGGAATGCACACTAATAAGTTTTGGAGTAGCTTGGATTATACATGCTTTTATCAAAAAATAAGTATTAGAGGTAATGTTTTATGCTAAAAATAGGATTTGGATGTTGTGTTGTTTTTTTATAGATTTCATAGTAGTGATATTGCAAATTTCCTATTTATGTTAAGAATGTCTCAAACTAGTTTGTTATTCAGGACATGGGGCTTCCCCGACGCCTTGAGGTATGGAAAATGGGCATCGTCAATTACTCTGAAGCACTCAAGTTGCAGGAGAAGCTCTCTTCCGACAGAAAGACAAACCAGATTGCTGACACTCTATTGTCACTACAACATCCACCTACATACACCCTGGGAAAAAGGCGAACGGATCACAACATATTGGTCCCCGAGTCGAAACTCAAGTCCATTGGGGCGACGCTTCACTACACACAAAGAGGAGGCGACGTCACGTTCCACGGTCCTCGCCAGGCCATTCTGTATCCCATAATTTCTCTACGTGAATTAGGCTTAGGAGCTAGAAAGTATGTCGAGAAGCTTGAACTAACCATGATTGACTTGGCATCCTTGTATGGTGTCAAAGCTCGTGCAGGTCAAACGGGAGAAACCGGCGTCTGGGTTGGTCAGAGAAAGATCGGGGCCATTGGGGTTCGGATATCCTCCGGGATCACGTCCCACGGGCTCGCGTTTAACGTCGACCCGGATTTGAACTACTTCAAGTACATTGTGCCTTGTGGGATTGTTGATAAGGAAGTCACTTCTTTGCAAAGGGAGACGCTGCAGGTACTTCCTTCTGATGAGGTTGTTCATGATCATTTGATTTCTTGCTTTGTTAGAACTTTTGGTTATGCTGATGTTGTTTGGAAAAATGTTGATAGTTTGCCTTGATTGGGTTATGAATTGAATTTTTACTTGAGAATTGGGAGGTTAAATCATATCCTTCTGTCCTATAAATTTAGAATATTTGATTTTTTTTGACATTTCAAGTTGGTCCTCGTAAAATACAAAAATAGCACATGTTTGTAATAATGATATATGCTAATTATTTATAACTACACTTTCAGCACAGTTGCTGCCATCATTTTTATTTTTATTTTTATAATAATTATATATTTATTTGTTGACTTTGCAAACTAAAAGCAATTTCAGAATAAAAAATTTGTTAAATATAGAAAATTTGTTGAATAATATGTACTCAGTCATAATTATTTTAGGTCTTTTCTCGGTCAAAATTTATGTATGATGTAGTAAAATATTTTATTCATTCGTCCAAGATAATTGAACTTTTTTATTAAGGACAAAGGTAAGAATTTAATTGTTTAATAATAATGAGTTATATTATTATTATTTATTTAATTAATAATATTTATAATTTTAAAGTAAATTTAACATATAATTAAAAAAATTAAAATATATATTTAAATATTTTAAAACTTTTGTAACAATAAAAGAAATATATACAATATGATATTATTGTGTACAGAATAAAAATTTTTATAATATAAGTAAATAAAAAATACTTTTATTTATTTATAATTAATATAAATTAATTTTATAAAAGATGTGGAGTTTTAAATATAGATAAAAATATTTATTATTTTTTAAGAAGGAAGATAGAAATAAATGAATTTTGAGTGGATTTTAAGTCATATTATATATTATGTAGTTAATTAAATTTTTCTTCCGTCCTGTGAAATTAGTTGTGTTTCTTTCATGCGCGGAGTTTAAGAATATTTGATTTATATAGTTAATTAATGTGATTAGTTAATTTAATATATGTAATAAAATGTTATTTTAACTATTTTATTTGATGAAATAATGAAATAAAAGTTGAAATTTTATTTATTTATTTATTTTATTTTATTTAAATTTAATATTTTATTTATTGAATTGTTTTATTTTTAAAAGTATTATTATATTGATTGTAAATTATGCCATCAGATAAACTAAAATAAAATTAATTGTAATAATTTAAATAAAAAATAACAGCTGTAATACTAAAATTTGTAATACTATAAACAAAATATCAAATTTTTCGAATTTGATCGTTGGTAGGGATAGTTCGATATTAAATACCAAAATTATAATGCATATTTTATATATCGTACTAAAATTTTTAGTATGCTATTTTATCGTAATGAGATATTGTACCAATAATTTGGTATACCAAATTTATCGATGAAAAAATATTGAATTACAGAAATAACACATAATGTACTAAACAAATACCGAAAATGTCAGATTTCAGTATACCGATTTTTTTTTAATGGTATTGATATATTTTTTTAATATACCAAAAAATTTGGTGTGGTATACAATATAGTTCGGTATTATCTGAATACGAATTACATGTATAGTATCAAAATATAATATTTTACGCTGAAATATAATAATTAAAAATAATTTTACAATTTTAAGAATATATTAGAAACTTAGTTATTTTAGTATCAATATACTAAATTATTGATATAGACCGATGTATCAAATACTAAAATATCAAACTGTATTGATATTTTTGGTATATATTATACCAACAATGCTAAAAGTATATGCAATTGTCGTGCTGAAAATGTTTGGTACGGTATCATATCATATAAAAATTTACGATATACAATAATTTTGACACTTTAGTATTTTTTTCATGCATTATTTGAACAAATTGATATTTTTCACTTTTAATAATAGTGATAAATGATTTTTTTTTAAAAAAAAACAATGAAATATAAAAATCAAATTTTAAATTAAATCTCATTATTAACTAATTTTCAATAGTAAAATATCAAATCAAATATTTTCTATATTATATTAAAAATTAATAAAAAAATTTAGGCATATAAACACTTATTTATATCATATTGAATATTTATTCATTTTTATTATTAAAAATTCTAACCCTACTTTTAAATTTACAATAAAACAAACAATAAAAGTTATGAGTATTAATAATTGAATAAAATATAGTTAAATTTGTAATTGTAATTAGTATTTACTAATTATAACTATATTAGGAAATGTGACTAATTCCGCAGGACAACCAAAAAAGAAAATATGGTTTAATTTCACGGGACGGAGATAGTGAGTATATGTTAAGTATGTTTTGATTTAGTAAATTTTATCAAAATAGAAATGAGTTAATTGTCATGGATAAGACAAAAATAAAAATAAGATTAATTGATGGGACAGAGGGAATAATAATTAAACTAATAGATTTTTTTTCTTATTTTATATATATATTTCTTTTGTTATTCTATTTTTTATTATATATATATATATTAAATTTTGTACTCAATCAAACAAATATAAACATCGAGTGCGCAATCCATAATATAAACATGAGCATACCTTAAATTTTAGGGTTAAATTGATTTATTGTTATTTAAAAATTTAAATTCAAGTACAAAAATTCAACAATATATTGTATTGTAAAATTATATCATGTTAAGATATGTGTTCCATAAAATTATATTATGAGCTATCAAATACTCATTCCGTCCAATTTCTATTGTCCTAAAGTATATTTGCAAAGTTTTTTAGGTGATTGTTTTTTTTTTGTTATGAATCGACAAATTCACCTTTAATTGCATGATAGAGATTAAAAGTAATAAATGAATGGAGGGTAAAAATGTAAAATTTGTGTTTAAAAATGAAATAGGACAATATTTGTTGGACCTCCCAAATAAGAAAGTAGGACATTAATTTGTGGACGGAAGGAGTATATGTTTTATATCTTGATAATATATACGGACTCAAATTAGCAGCGTGTTTATTTGATCCAATCAACACTCAACCCGAAGCGATCTATCAATAAGCTTTGATTGCAATTGAAATTTCATTTTTATTATATTTTTCAAGTAGTATTGGTAGGTGTTTTTAAACATTACCTTAATGATGATATTAAATCAAAATTAAAATAGAGCGTGAAATTAAATTAAAGGTACAAAAGACATAAATCTAGAATTAAACTAAAATAAAAAATACGTCAAATAAAAAAAAAAACAAAAACATTTATTGTTTTTGTTTTTGTTTACGCCGAAACTTCAATTTCATTTAACGCGAAGTGATGCCACAAGTAGCGATACCTAATTTCTCACCAACGTGGGCTTCAAGAGATACGAGAGAAAATATTCTTTAACTTGACATTCATCATATCTACGATGTTGGTGACATTTCAATTAAATAGAAAATTGTGTAAGTAATATAAAATAATAAATATATTATATATATATATATTTGAAAAAAATGCATATGCTTATTTTGGCAAAAAAAAAAAAAAAAAAAAACAACATACTCAGGCCATTTTTGATCCATCGCTTCATTTTTGCAGTTGCTACGCAGTTGATCTACAATTCTTTTAATTGAATCATAAACTTCAATTTTTAGTCCAAAAACTATATTCCATATATATTCTTCTTTTACATTATTTTATATAAGTTTTCATATTTATAAATTATACCCCAACTTTAATTATTTTTACATTATAATCCGTACACATATAATTTATATTTTATTTAAAAATTACATATATTAAAATTAACAATTATAATTAATAACTATTACAAATAAAATAATTTTAAATAAATAATTAGATGCTATCAAGACAAATAACTATTTAAAATAAAAAATTATACATAAATTTTTATAAAATAAAAGTACACGTAACTTTAAAAAAATAAAATTATATCACTTTCCGAAAAGTAAAATCATATATTAATTTTAAAAATAAAATTATACATTTTTTTTTAAAAAAAAATTCTATATCACTTTTCAAAAAATAAAATTATACATCACTTTTAAAAAATAAAATTATACATTATTTTTAAAAAATATAAAATTATACATAACTATTTAATATAGAAAATTATATATCATATTCTAAAAAATAAAATTACACAATACATTCCAAAAAATAACAAAAATATAAAAAATACCACAAAATATCATAAAATTTCACTCCAAAAATAGAGTGGAGGTACAGAGTTACTCCAAAAATGAGGGGGGATCAACCCATTTTTCGCTCAACCCACTGCATTGGAGTTGGTCTCATAGTCTTTCTAATAATTTCGGTACTGTTATAAAAATAGTAGACTGAGTATATTCAAAATTATTTTTAAATCAATATAACTCAATCTTGAAATTAGAAAGATGTTTTAGTAGGAAATTTAAAATTTTGATTTTTTTTAAAAATATAATAAAGAGTTAAATATATGATATTTAAAATTTTATAAAAAGAAATATGCATTTCATATAATATATATATTTTTAAAAAAATAAAAAAATAGTGTTAAAATATTCAAAAGTACATATGAAAACGAATTTTATGATACATACAATTATATATTCTTAAATATATTATTTTTGCAACCTTTTTTTTATATGTACTCAAATTTTGTATGTTTGATATTTTTAAAAAATATATATCTAGCTAAAATATTGGAGATGGAGTTACCATATACACTGGTGGAGCGGTGGAGGCCCAAAATTTGTGGTTTTTTGAATTTGGTTCGGATAATTTGAATTTGAATTTTTTTATTTAAGTAATATTTTATTAGTGAAAAAAATCGATATAAATAATAAAATTTTTAAATTTTTATTTTTATATTTATATTTTTTCTATTTAAAAAAACTCTCAAGTCTCGCCGTCCAGCCAATGTAGAGGTTTCTAGATGGTACACGTGTCCCAACCTAACTCGCAACTTCAGTCCCCAACTGAAGCAGCCTGCGACCCGCCCGGCAGACGAAACCCGACCCGGTAAATGGATCGATAGATAAACCCCTCTCCGTTCCATTCCTCTTCCCTTTCTTATCTTCTCCGCTCTCATTTCTTCTCAAACCCTACGCCCACCACCACCCACCCACCCCCCATTTCTAGGGTTTCTACCAACCTTCCAACTTCCATTTCCGTTTCTAGGTTTCTCGATTCTCTGGAAATGGCGTCCTCAGCCGCTCAAATTCATGCGCTCGGTGCAACGGCGCACTTTGCATCGGGGAGTCCGGCCGGAAGGAACAGCACGAAGACGGTCTTCTTCGGAACGAAGCTCAATAATTCGGTTTCGTTCGGGCTGAAGTTGAAGAGCAAGGCGCGGAGTGGCGGCTCGAGGCGCTGCGGGCCGCTTCGTGTGGTTGCGGAGAAGGTCGTCGGAATTGATCTCGGGACGACAAATTCTGCGGTGGCGGCGATGGAGGGTGGGAAGCCTACAATCGTGACGAACGCGGAGGGGCAGCGGACGACGCCGTCGGTTGTGGCTTATACTAAGAATGGGGACAGGCTGGTTGGGCAAATCGCGAAGCGCCAGGCGGTGGTGAATCCTGAGAACACGTTTTTCTCTGTGAAGAGATTCATTGGGAGGAAGATGTCGGAGGTGGATGAGGAGTCGAAGCAGGTCTCGTATCGTGTTGTGAGGGATGATAATGGCAATGTCAAACTCGAGTGTCCTGCCATTGGGAAGCAGTTTGCGGCTGAAGAAATCTCAGCTCAGGTATATATATATATATCTTTGCATACTGTATTATTCTTCTAATAATTTCCATTGTCATTTCAATTCAGGTGAAAGTTTTAAACTATTCTTTTATTTTATATTGAGTATTGATTTGCTTATTTCAATTCTGTATTGTGTATGAAATATGTGTTAATATGTACGAAAGAGAAGATCATTATATTCGAAAGGTCAAGAACATGGCTTCTCATGAGGTCTTCTCTTATATCAAACATCACTGCACACTCCGGGCAATCTTCTTAAGATTTTGTAGCAGATTGCGTCTGTTGTTGCAGACAATCGAGGGCTTAGCTATTATTATTTTAAACTATTCTGGTGGCATGTTGGGTGAATATCTTCAAGGTGATTTGTGCGTCTGATTAATGAATTTCACTGACTTTAGGTTTTGAGAAAGCTCGTGGATGATGCATCGAAGTTTTTGAACGACAAAGTCGGTAAAGCAGTTGTCACTGTTCCTGCATACTTCAACGATTCTCAAAGAACTGCAACTAAGGATGCTGGACGTATAGCTGGGTTGGAAGTTCTTCGTATTATTAATGAACCAACAGCTGCGTCATTGGCATATGGTTTTGAAAGGAAAAGCAATGAAACAATCCTGGTTTTTGACCTTGGTGGTGGCACCTTCGATGTCTCAGGTATGTACAAACAACTGTGCCTTTTCCTAATATTTGAGTCTTTGCTTTAAGCCCTTTATTCCTTTCTTCGGGATGCGGAGTGTTTTGTTCTCATTGATACTGATATGCAGGATTGTTTTTTCCCCCAGCATTTAGAACACTTATTTTCCTACGAGGATTTTCATGTTCTTTTTCACTTTACTTTTAGTACTTGAGGTTGGTGATGGTGTGTTTGAGGTACTGTCTACATCTGGGGATACACATCTTGGAGGTGACGACTTTGATAAGGTTTGGTTTCCTTCTCACCGATCACTAAGTTGCTCACCTGTAAAAAATAAAATCTTCTTTCTTATGGAAATTTAGCTGATCGAGTATTTTGTATATCTTACAGAGAATTGTTGATTGGCTGGCTGGAAACTTCAAGAAGGATGAGGGAATAGATCTGTTGAAGGACAAGCAAGCTCTTCAGCGTTTGACTGAGACAGCAGAAAAGGCGAAAATGGAACTATCATCTTTAACCCAGACTAATATTAGGTATGTTTGGAGTTATCTAGCTTTCATTGTAGCCGTTACACACATGTGCCAATCTTGACGTACTTGTGTTTTTCTCCTTTGCCAGTTTGCCTTTCATCACGGCCACTGCTGATGGTCCCAAACATATTGAAACCACGCTGACCCGGGCGAAGTTTGAAGAGTTGTGCTCAGATTTGCTTGACAGGTAATTATCGACCAACTCCTTATTTAGATAAGTAAAGTGCGTTCTACATTGTCTTTTGCAAGTCTTCTGAGTGGCGTATTGTCTTTTTCTTCAGGCTTAAAACCCCTGTCCAAAATTCTTTGAAGGATGCAAAACTCTCGTTCAGTGACATAGATGAGGTCATCCTTGTTGGTGGCTCTACACGTATTCCCGCTGTTCAGGAGCTTGTTAAGAAATTGACCGGCAAGGATCCAAATGTCACTGTCAATCCCGATGAAGTTGTTGCCCTGGGAGCTGCTGTTCAGGTTATTCAATCTCACATTCTGCCGCCTGATACATTATAGACATATGCAAGTAAACAGGCTTTATATAGCTGATTTGATCTTCCATTTGCTTAGGCTGGTGTTTTAGCTGGAGATGTTAGTGACATTGTCCTTCTGGACGTAAGTCCGCTATCATTGGGATTGGAAACACTGGGTGGGGTAATGACAAAGATTATTCCAAGGAACACAACGCTTCCCACTTCGAAATCAGAAGTTTTCTCCACAGCTGCTGATGGTCAAACAAGTGTTGAGATCAATGTCCTTCAAGGCGAAAGAGAGTTTGTCAGGGACAACAAATCCTTGGGAAGCTTCCGCCTAGATGGAATTCCACCCGCTCCCCGTGGAGTACCTCAAATTGAGGTCAAATTTGATATTGATGCGAATGGAATCCTCTCAGTCACTGCCATCGACAAGGGCACTGGGAAGAAGCAAGATATCACCATTACCGGTGCCAGCACATTGCCAAATGACGAGGTAATTGTTACAGTTGATGTTTTAATCAAGTCGTTTGCTTTTCAGCCACATATTTTACCCACGTAAATTGGCTTCTTCTTTGTAGGGTTCAGGGCTTATATTAGGTTATTATATGTTTTTGAAATATTACGTAGTTTTATTAATGGAAGTCTGTATATATTATTCTGCGAGCAATGCTTTAGGTGGACAAAATGGTGAAAGAGGCCGAGAAGTTTGCTAAGGAAGACAAGGAGAAAAGAGATGCCATCGACACTAAAAACCAGGCGGACTCTGTGGTCTACCAAACCGAGAAGCAGTTGAAGGAGCTCGGTGACAAAGTCCCCGCCCCTGTAAAGGAGAAGGTCGAGGCCAAGCTAGGAGAGCTCAAGGACGCCATTGCTGGTGAATCAACCCAAACAATGAAGGATGCCATGGCTGCCCTGAACCAAGAAGTTATGCAGCTCGGGCAATCTCTGTACAACCAACCAGGGGCAGCTCCTGGCGCTGGCCCATCACCTGGTGCCGGCCCGGCTGGTGGATCTTCAGAATCATCAGACAAGGGCCCCGAAGGTGATGTCATTGATGCTGATTTCACGGACAGCAAGTGAGAGACTTGCCAGGTAATTTATCCCTGTAATGAAGGGTGCTTGCTCGTCTATTTCTTTTGTGTTTATAAAGGATGGATGATTTTGTCTTAAGGTAAACGGTAAAACAGAGATTGGAATTTCTTGAGAATGAGTGCTCTGCCATAATCCCAAGGTTAGATCAAGTGTTTTTTCCACAACATTTGGAACTTCTTTATAGGAATTTTTTCTTACACCGTCCCGCTTTTCTTGATCTATTATTTTCCTTGTTTTCGATCTGCTTTCTTATGATGCCTTTATCGATGCCATATGTGTCTTACTTGGAAAGGAAGATTTATATATGCCCTGATAAGCAACAATGGATTGGGTACATGAAAAATGGATACTATAAACCATTTCCGGATAAAATGAAGAAAGCCCTTGTAGATTATATACGTTCAAATGTCTCGATTGCTGCTGTGCTTGGGCTGGGGCTGAGGCCAGTCGGGAACAGGACCCTTCTTCTTTCCTGAAAGGGATCCACTTGATGGTGTCTTAGGGCATTATTATGCCTTTGGAGAACACCATTATTATTATTAGTATTGTTATTGTTGTTACTGCTGCTGCTGCTGCATAGGCTAGTTGAACTCTGAACTTTATGCATATCTACTCTGCTGGTGCTGTAATAATTGTGATGATAGTTGATCGGGGCAACCGTTGCCAGCTCGCCACCGTTCAGACCGCCCTCGGTGTCCGGAGACCCGGGCGATGATGACGAGCAGTTGGACAAGGAGAAGAGCCCGTGGTGGGCGGCGGCATTGATCATCAGCATTGGGTGTTTCTTGATGGAGTGAGGTTGCCAGCGAACGATGCCGTTTATGGCGTCGATGTATCGGTGGGCGAGAGCTGTGTGGAGCTCGAATGAGGAGCCCGTTTGGTGGTGCTCCATCAGGACGGGGGCTGGCGGGAAGAGGAAGGCCCGCAGTCGGGGCCCCCCTGCAGCCTCGCAGCGGTTGATTTCATCCAACATGTAGCAGAGGTCTTCGTCGGATTTGACGGAGACTAGTGCATCGAGTTCCTCCGCGGCAACCTGGTACTTTAGGACCGTCTCTCCGTCGACTATGGATTTGAGCTTCTTCATGAGGTCTGGTCATGAAAGAGAGGAGTTTGGAAATGACCTTTAGACTTAGGTGGGGTGGGGATGGGATCACCGGCCCCCCCCATCCCAGCTCCCTTCACGTCCCCACCTATAAAGTGATATATATACACTACATATGTGTGATATATAAGTATAATATATATATATATATAGAGGCGTGGGATCTTCGGCATCAACCTCCCTCTCCTCATCCAACTCTATCACTCAAAAGTGATATATATACATAATATATACTTCGTTTGTCTATATGATTTGTCATATTTTTTATTTTTGTTTATTTTACATAATCTATCATTTTTTTTAAAAAAATAATTATATACTTTAATCGTATTATAAATTTTAAATTTTATAATTTTTTTTAATTTTAATTTAATTATTTAGTTATTTTAATTTTAATTTATAATTATTTTTACTATATAATACATAGTAATTATACTTTACTTAAATTTTCGTATTTATAGTAATACGTCCATATTACTTAGGATAAAGACAGTATCATATAATATATATATATATATATATATACATATAATGTATTAGGTGGGGCTGGGGAGGCTGATGCCAAGGATCCCATGGCATATATAGGAGAGGGGCTGGTGATCCCATTCCAGTGGGGTGCGAAATCTCAGAAAGAATATTATTGATGCTTTGTTTTGCATGGCCATTTTGTGAAGAGGAGAAACTCTCTTTTCAATAGCTAGTAAATACTCCTTCCATTTCGCATATGATTTTGGTTTTGGCTAAGTAAATACTGTTAAATTAAATAAATTGAGAAATAAAAAAATATTTATTTATTTTTATTATAGTTAAAAAATATTGTAAAATATATAAGACAGAATTGACATTATCATTTATTTATTTGTTTATTTTATATTATTATTAACTAATAATTTCTATATTAATTGTCTTTTATTATTTGTTTACAAATGTTCCAGTAAGCATCTCGCGAGTCTATTGATTTTATTTATAAAATACAAGTTTATATTTATACTAAAAATAATAATTCCTCCGCCTGAAATAATTATGCTGACAATTAAAAAAAAAGATGTAATCATAAAATTATAAATGCAACATAAATCAACAATATATAATTGCATAATTGACTTCTAACTTACATGGGAAAATAAAAAAAAAAAAAATTATATCCATTTTTTCATGTACCGATTACAGCAAATCATTACCATATTGAAGATTATAATGGAATATTACTTATGTTCTTTTAATATTTACATAATTTTTAGAAACAATTGATAAAAATATATTTTATTTTTTCTTACAAAATATTTAAATAATAAAAAATAAACTCTTTTAACACAAATATCACATCTCCATAATAATTTTATGATATTTAATAATTAATATTATCTTTATTTCAAAATAAATGTATCTGTCTTCTAATTTAGCATTTAAATTATCTAAATAACAAAATTTTATATTATACCGATGTCGTCGTTACTTTTATATTTTTATCTTTTTTATTATAAATTAATATAATATTATATTTAAATCATATGAAAAAAAAAAAAAAAAGAAGAGAGAGAGAGAGAGAGAGAGAGAGAGAGAGAGAGAGAGAGAGAGAGAGAGAGAGAGAGAGAGAGAGAGAGTACATGATCACATTACAATCATGAATGGGCATGATTATGAAGACAAATTAATAAATGTAAAGCAGTCAGAGTGAGTGAGTCCAGGTCGTCGTCTAGTAAATGAAAATACAGATTCAATTCAACTCACAGGTAAAAGATCAATTGATGCAGTTCGTAATCCAAATACATTCAACGAGTTAGATGAATAATGAAATGAAAGATTCGTTCATTTCCAGAGACACACAAAGTTCAATTTCAATTTCAATCCGTGCAAGTAACGAGGTAAAAACGCACAAGCATAGAATCATCAGATCATTCACACATCCAAAATTGCAAGGCAAGGCAGTTACAAATTGAAAGGAAACGAAAAGGTATAGAAATTAGAATGAATGAATGACTGAATGTGTGCGATGCGATAGATCTGACCTTGGAAGGAGATGTCCCGAGGCACAGAGATGAGGCGACTCTCGCCGCCGACATACCTGAGCTGGCCGTCGGCAGGGCGAGGGAGGATCCTGCCGCCGTGGCTGCAGATGAATTTGAACCGGTCCATAGAAGAACCGGAGGAAATGGCGGAGGTTATGATGGCCATTGCAATGCAGGCAGCAGCGCCTTCTCAATTTGGGGATTCGCATATTTATAGTCCTCTATAGAGAGAGAGAGAGACTGAGGGGTGACTATGCGGCCGTTCCGTACCAATGGAAGGAAAGAGAGCTTTAATTAGAACAGTTGCTTGTTTCAATTCTTTTTGCCCTTTTTTGGTTTTGTTTTTAACAAACCACCAAAAACATCGCTGCTAAATAAATAAATAAATAAATAAAATATTATATTCGCAACCGCCAATTTATCCATTTACTTTTCGCATATTAATATTTGAATATTAATTATTATATCAAAATAGTACAAATCAAGAAAAAACGTCAAAAATACTTTCATTGGTGTCTTATAATACTAATGTAATGATATTTATACAAAAAATTATATAAATATAAAGATATTTTTAATGTTAAAAATAATGACGCCAAATACAAATGGATAGATTCGCGGTGGACGGAGGTAAATAGTATATTTTTTACTACCGGGTCTCACATGTTAATATTTCAATATTAAATATTACTATATCAAAATATAGTATAAATTAAGAAAAAATTGCAAAAATATTTCAATTAGTATTTTATAATACTAGTAAAAGGACATTGGTACGAAAAAATATACAAATATAAAATTTTTTTTAACGTTAAATACAATAACATAAAGATTAAATATAGCGGAGGCGGATAGATGACGTACATTACAAATTATCAGCTTTTATTTTATTTTTATTTTTAAGCCCAACTTTATTATTAGTTATAACTAAATCTATTTAGGCCGCTTGCAACATCACACCAATTAATGATACTAATTAAAATGTTGATTAGTACTAACAAGCACATAAAATAAAATACGGATTGTCACTGTTATGCTCCATCCATCCCATACACTGTATACACGATATTTTAGGAGGGGTGTAATTAATAAATAATTAAGAATATATTAGTGAAAATAATTATCTTATAATATAAATAATTATAAATTAAGATTATGATAACTAATTAGTATAATTAAAATTAAAAAAAATAAATTAAAAAATTTAAAATGAGATTAAAATATATAATCATTTTAAAAAAAAGAAAGTGACATGGAACGTGGGACGGACAGAAACGGCAACGTGGATATGGTATGTGGGACGGAGGGAGTAATATATTACATAAAAATATTCAATATATTTTTTTTCATAACACTATATATGTTATATTATTAATATATGCTATATCATAAATATACTATAATAGTATATAATATATGTTGAATACTTTTATATGACATGCTGATTTGATTGGTCAGCACCAAATGTGCAGCCTATAAATATATATGTTGTAAATCAGATCACTGTCTTTTAATTGTGTTTTTCTACTTTTGTTTCGGTATTGTTTAATTTGATTTTATTCGAATTTGTTTCCGCTAATTTTTTATCGTATTTTTGTATACGAGGTTTGTTCGATAAATCCAAAGATTCGGGAATAAATTTACAATAGTGGTATCAGAGCCCCGGGTGATCAACCGATTGCGAAATTGAAAGAAAATTTGATTCGAGTTTTGTAGGACTCGAGTAGTAAAAGGCTAAACCCTCGTCACTTTAATTTTGATATATTATGATTCTTGGTGAAATTGTGGTTTGATAATATGCTGAAATTCTTTGTGTTGATCGACTATGCTTACTTGGTGATTGATTGAATAATCTTTGAATTTGTCGGAATTTCTTGTATTACTTGGTGATATTGTTTTGGAAATTGTTTTTGATTCCTTGGTTATATCTAGTGTAGTTTTTTGGGCTATGCTTGTGTTAGTTTTGAGAAGTTGAGTTGTTATAGCTGATTGTTGGATGCATGTTGATATTTCCGTGTGAGATAGAAAATGCATTTAAGTTATTATTTGAAAAATGCCTAAAAATAATTGTAAATTGAAGGATAATCAAGAATAAAAATGATTTGTTGCATTATGTATTTCCTTGGTGAAAAAATTGAAATGCATGTGTTAGATTGTTGATTTGTATGTGATTGACTTAGTTTTTTCTCCACAATTCTTTGTGAAAATAATAAATGCATGTTTCTTGTAGGAAATTAGTCGAAGACATGCATGAGAAACTAAATTGATAACTAATAGTAGAAACTTAGGAATACTTTAATGCATGATGTTCTTTGTTATGTTATGAGTTGCACGTATTCCTTTAGATATTTGCGATTTGATTGTTTAGTTGGTATTACATGGATAGAGTGATTCACCTCAACACACCCCAAACCCACCATTTAATCTAACACTTATTAACTTTCCCAAACTAAAAAATCACACACCGTTATAACCAATCTAACAAATGGACTTAGGGTTTAATATATAAGATTGGAAATTGGATTTGGTTAAAAGGTTTGAGCTGAATCCGGTGGGTCGGACTAAGAAGTGCGTCAAATAATTATTTATCGACAGGATTTGTCGGGTAAGCTTCGAACGTCCAAAATTTTCAACAATATATATATATTAAATTGATGTTAATAATAATAGCATTAATGTATTAATTATTGTAATATTGTCGGTTCATATATTATATTAATATAAAGTTTATATTTAATTTATACTATATATAAGATCTCGTCAATTTGATGTGAAGTTAACAATTATATTACATAACCCGGGGCTCAATTTTCTAAACAATATCAAAACACAGATCAAGAGTTTATATTTAAAACATATATATTTTATTTAGGAAAATCAAAATTATTACACTATCATGTATTCTATAAGAATATATTATGTAATTATATTAATATAAATAATGTGCTATATATACTCTTAATCGATACTTTATGAAAAAAAAAAGAAAAAAAAAATCAATACAAAACATACATAAGATACTATCAAATCGAATCTAAATAAAACATCTTAAGAATTCACTTACTATAGATAAAACAATTCCATTGTTATTACTTTAGTTTCACTGTCCAAAAATAAGGGATTTGATACAATTTTCTATAATTATTATTAAAAAAAAAAAGATAAAAATAATAAAAAAATATACATAGCTTCTCGAATTTGCTGAAAACATCCTATAGTTCTAAACTTTCATAAAATTTACTTTTGATATTAAAAATGTTGCATAAAATTCTATTTTGGTTAAGATTGAATGGTTAATGCATCTTATATTTTTGGTAAAATTACAAAAATATCTTTCTTGAGGCACATTTTAGCCATTTTACCTATATTTAAAAAATCCTTCCCAATGTCGCACACGGCAATCGTAAACCATACGGTGTCGCTTCACAAGAATGCCCAGTCGGGAGGTGGAGGAAGAAGAAGACGAGGCGATGGTGTCGGGAGAGAGAGGGGGAATGAGAGAGAAAGAAGGACAGAGTAGCGAGAAATTGGTGGATTTGGAAATTTAATTTGGAATTAAATTTTATGAAACTTTCGGATCATTTCAACAAATTTAGCAAATCACAAATCTTATGCTATTTTGCCTTTAAAAAAATTAAATATATGCACACATTATACATAATATGTACATTTTATCATATATATTAAATAAAGCCTAGATTAAGCAAACAGATATAATACTAATACAAATAATCATACATATTAAATAAAGCCTAAATCCCCAATTTATAGGACTAAGCAACAACAAAAGACAATATTATATTTTCACAACCAAATTAATAATAAAAGAAGTGTTCTCCTTGTGTACGGCCTCGTCTATAGTCACCCCAAAATACATCCGCAGCTATATGTAAATCTTAAGTACGCAAAAAAAACACATGACATTGCCAATTTTCAAAACAAAAGAACACAAATATACCAAAATCAGACAACCTGGTAGTTTTCAGTAGTCAGCAGTGTTCTTTGGGAGTACTTGGGCGGATTGCCGCCGCGCAGTGGCACCACGTTCACAACCTGCGTATGGTATCGATTAAAATTATCCACGAATTTTATGTTACGACAATGGTGAAGATAAAACAAGAACCAACCTTGAGATCACTGAAAGTGCCTGCGGAAGTCAAGCGCACGGAGATCGGGAAGAGGGTCGATGTATCCACTGCAGGAATCACGAATTCCATGGCTCCACTGCAATATTTATTTCAGTGTACATAGCAACTGTATGAATTGAGGGAACTTTCCGAAGTAGTAGAAAGGTAAAGTGGAATAGCTTGGGATAGAAAATGACCTGCGATTGGAGTTGTCGATGAGCACAATTGTCCACTCCAGGACTGACTTTCTGGCATCGTATCTGCAACAATTAAATCAGTTGGAATTGCATCATTGATTAAATTTCTTAATCACAACATTCAAGCAGTGAAAAAACCATACCATACCATACTGTATACAAATCAGGTTATAAACTAATTGAATCGAACCTCACCTCCATTCGCCATCGACCTGCTGAACTTTGGGTGCTTCTCTAAGAGCTGGAAGAGGAATCGAGATTACAACATTCTGCAGATCAAACATTGAGGAAGCTTCATACTCCAAGTTCACATATGTTTCACTCCCAGAAACAGAAGGCCAGCAGTTGACTGTGGATAAAAGAACATATTGATTTAGCACAATAAATATGCAGATATAAAACCACGGGGTTGAAGTAAAACGCTCACTTGACAATGGGACAAGTGACTCATCTGCACTTTGCATTCTCCACTTCAACAGACTAACACCGTCGCCAGTAGGGAATGGACGGTTTGGGTCCTTAAGACCCAATATACTATCACCAGAAAACAATTCCTTATTGATGTTTGGATGGGTTTTAAATATAATTCCTGGGTTACCACCAGTTTCAATCTGAAAATAAACCAAAAACGAAGATTAGAATGGGAATAAGTTGCCAGAACACGGGACAAATCTGATTTTTTTTTCAAACACAATTTCAAAGGAGTTTGAAAGGAAAAGGGCCAGGGTGTGCAGGAAAGTGGTACCTGAACTTGGATGAACCCATCATCTTGGTTAAGTATCTGGAGAGACAATGTGCCCTGTAAATCAAAGTTTCCAATACCACCGTCCTGTTTTATAGTCACATTAAGCTTTTCCTCGACAGTTAGAGTCACGGGATCAGTTGGTGGTGGAGCAGCTGCTTTAGTCTGACCAATACTCGGCCTAACATCTTCCACAATCACTTCACCTTCAGCTTTCAGAGACTCCAAGAATTGGTTGGTCTTTTGACTTTTCCCAAGCTGCATGCCAAGACCTTTAGGTGGAGCCGCAGCAGATGCTGGAGGGCGGCCTAATTTTAAAATTCAGAAACCAACAAGTCAGTGAACATCTATCTATTACCTTGTAATGTACAAGTGCCATTTATATCAGGAAAAACAAACACACACCTTTCGATTTAGTGGAGAATGAATCAACTTCAGGTAAACCAAAGCCTGGGCCACTTCCAAAGCCGCCAGTGCCACTAGATATTGTGCTGTCATTGCCAAATCCAGTATCAATTCTCCCAGAACCCATCGACTGAAGGGACATAAATCCTCCTTTCTCACCCCGATTCTTTTCAATCTAGACAAACAGTGCAGGATTAACTAGTTAACAACTTGCAAAAAAGGCATAGCAATGGAGTGCTATCCTGGGCTGCATCGAAGTACCTTGCTTTTGTCAATCTCACTAGCTTTCCGCTTCATGACATCCTTGGTTTCATTGATCTTGCTTTGCAAGACCAACTTGTGCAATCTTTCTTCATGACTTTCCATCTCACAATACTGTTTCACTTGTGCAACTGTAACATTTTCTTTGTGCCCAAGTGAAATTACTTCGTCAAATGCAAAAAGGATCTCAAAAGCTGTCTTGCCAATGCCCTCTTCATCAAGGGAGTAAGAGTATTCAGGCACCTACTCTGTGTTAAGGGAGTACTACCACAGTTTATAAATCGAAAACAGTGAAAGATTGAAAAGCTTTTAAAAAAGGACATATAAAACTCCTGTTGCCCTGATACATCAGCAACATTACTTTTTCATCTCAACTTTGACAGGAAGAAATATGAAAGGTTTAATTTGGATGAGCTAAACATAAAGGTGAGTAAGTACAACAAATGAGTATTTTGTAAATAGAAAGAGGATACAAGTTTGGAGAGTAGCCTCAGTGTCTCCAAATCTTCAAGGATGTTGCTTTGTTTATTTGTAACAAGAAGCAAGTACAGTGTTTCTATCGGCTGATAAACATAACGGACGTTTTCAGTCTCGACATAAGTGTGTTGCTTCCCAGTTCCAACCAGTTTTGGAAAAGCTGCAAGGTACCCTTCAATCCGTATACGGGACATATCCACAAACTGCCTTGAAACAAGGACTGTAGAAGATTCCAAACCACACAAACAATTTCATTGCACTTCTCCAGAAGATGGGACTATAAAATATTAATATCTAAATGAAATGGACACCTTAAAAAATAAAACATAAGAAATCATATCATTCAAACGGAAACCAATTTTTAAGCACAAGAAAATCAAGCGAACAACAACAACATATCAACATAGTATGAACAACTAGGCAACTGAAAAGAAAGATACACATGAAGAATCCAACAGAAAGTGCTAAGGGCAATACAAGAAAAGATAAATAGTTCAAGAGAGGGGCAAAAGAAACATAAGGCCAAAAAAAAAAAAAAAGAAAAAAAAAAGAGGAAATCATCCCCCAATTTCATATTTGCAGCCGAGAGGGAGAAAGCCAAATGGAAAAAATGAATAGATGTAATGCATAAATTCTCTAAATAAAAACTTGCTTTCATAGAACTATTTAAAAATATATGAATAAATGTAGAGAAAACCAAAATATGAAATTAAATGCAGAAAGGAATTAGTGATGTTTCTCCATGTGGCTTTGCATGAATAGCATGTTATCATTTTATTTCCTGTTTTTTTGCAGAGGTATTGTTGTCCTTGTAGTTTAAGTTTTGCATCGACCATCATATTTCAATAATTCAATATTGTTCATGGCATTTACAACATATAAAGACATCTTCTAAGTTTATAATAAGCATATATACACCCAAGAATATCTAATTAAACAGATTTCTCAATGATTTTAACACTTGTTATATCCCCATTATACTGAGATTTTATTAAATTGATTGATTCATAATCAGAAGTGTACGCATGTATGTGTGTAGATACATATACAATTTAAGCACCTAGTATATACAGATACAATTTAAGCCCCAGTATATGCAAAATTATTCCTGTTTGCAAAATTCTATGTGTTTAAACAACAACTCAGTATGTTCACATGGTGAAAACATAAGTTAGGGAGATATTTTAATGATATCAATGACAGAGCAGCAGACCGTTGCATGGGCTATCAGGGACTCTTATGCGCTTGGGGCAATGTGCAGGTAGTAAGGTTCTAACCAGGACAATCCATTGTTGGTTGACACCTGGGCCTGACTCGGGATGTCAAGATTTCTGGACGGCCTCCCTTTTCATTAAGGGGGAAGTTAACTAATTACAAAAAGAACTATCAGGTATTCTAGCTATATCGATGAGTTAGGTAGTGCATTCAGTATCCGTGTTGATTAATTGGATCTGAACACATTGTTAGGCATTTGACAATACACTGATCCCCAATCCCCACATAGTCAAATTGCTAACTTCATGAAGAAATATGTATCTTTCAGTCGTCATACTTCTAGGCGATTAAGAGACAGGTATAAATCTATCCAGTATGACAAATCACAAAAAATACAGTGATTGCAATTTGCAAGTAGAAATCAAATCCTATCCAAGTTAATGGAATATCTAGAACTCAGAACCTCAAACGATTAAGAAATGTACCTTTGCCAGTTTTGCTGATTATAGAAGCAGCGAGTACAACCTATAATGCAGATCGTGAACATACTGGTCAGTAACAAGTATTCACAAATGCAGAAGAGATTTAAGTAAATCTATAAAATCAGAAGAGGAATCACCATCTTGTTCCTCTCAATCCCAACAACCACTACCGATTAGTAAAATGAAATCTGGAAACAAACCACTCCTGAAACACAAAGCAAAAAGGAAAAACTTCAATTCCCAGCAGATTAACAAAATCAACAGAATTATAATTGGAACACAATCCCAAACGAAATCAACATAATTATAAGGAGAAGATCCAGATCTGAACAAAAGTAATACAGTTAACGATTTCAAAACGCCCAAAATTGCTCTGGCCATAGCAAGATTGTGCACGTTGCCCAACCAGATAAATGCAAAACGAAAGATTCATTGAAACAATACGAATTTCCGAGAAAAACACCCGATCAAGTAAAACCAAAATCATCAGCAACATTTCTTAGAAGATCAACCACCTCCACCAGATCGTAGAAGGTCACTCACCTCAAAATTCACCAGATCCAGCGACGAGAGCTTAGAGAAGTAAATCGAAGGCGATGCTCGAGAGGCCTTTAAAAGCACCGGCAACGAATGTGTTATTTCAACCGAGGAGTGAAATGAGAATTCGAAGACCAGTATTACATTTTCAGCCCCTACTCTTACAAGTATAACAAATCAGTCCTCAAACATTTCTTGTTTTATATATTTGTCACATAAGTGTTGGGAGCTTGGAATATAGCCGGGTTTTTGTTTAGTATTTTAATTAAAATAAGATAAAATTGATGTAAAATATAAAAAATAATATTTTATATTTAATATGAAATAATTTTTATGAAAAAAATAATATATAAAAATTATAAATGAAAATATATTAGATAAACAATTGTAATAAGTACTATTTTTTTTTTGTCCATATCAAAAACAAGTGTATGATATATTTTTTTAATTTAGTAATTTTTATGCCTATTAAATATAATTGTGGATTGACTAAATAAATAGTCTTACAACGTACAAATATCATTAATTTTATATTATATCATACTAATAATAATATTTTTTTTATTATAAATTAATATAATATTAATATTAAAAAATTATGTGCAAAAAACAAGTAATTCCTCGTTCCATGACAAACTATTTATTTTTCTATTTTAGTCCGTTTCATATCTATTTCCTTTTTTTAGTAACTATACTGTATACCTAATATTACAAATACCATTACAACTTACAATATATTACACAAATATCATTATCTTTATATCACACAATATTAATAAGGTTATTTTAGTGATTTCTATTTTATTCTTACTATATCCCAATATAATACTAATATTTCTAGAACTATGTGCAAAAAAACAAATGGATAAATAATTATAGGACGAAGGGATTTTGATAGGACGGAGATAGTATTTTTATTTTTATTTTTATTTTATTTTTTCTATATCTCACATAAAAAAATAAAAAAAAATACTTAAAATTATTTCACAAAATAAACACATCATCAATCTAGGTAATCTATTTTCTATTTATAATGTATATGATTTTTATTCAATTATTAATTTTATTAATTAAAATAATCTTTTTGCTTCGAAACAATTGATATTTTTTATTATTATTATTGATATCGTATCTAAGATGATGATATTTAATTAATTAATAATTTATGTATTACTTTAATAATATTAATAGATTTAAAATAAATTTAATATATATGATTAAAAAAAATTAGAATATATATTTAAATATTTTAAAAATTATATCATAATAAAACATATATATAATATAAATGCTAGAAAATAATTTTCTATAATACAAAATAAATAAAAAGTACATTTATATATTTATAATTAATATAAATTCTAACACTTTATTATTCATTATTCACTATCTTGAAAATTCATGAAAAAATATTTCATATACTAGCTCTTGTTGGAATCATTTATGCGGTAGCCCGCAAATTGGGCTGATAGGAAGGTTAGAAAAGGTTCGGCTCGTGGTTTTGTTTTGATAGAGCTTTACAGTTTTTAAAAATTTTGAAAGTTTGAAAAAATAAAAAAAATAAAAAAAAAATAAAAAAAATTAATATGATATTTTGTAATAAAAAAAATATATATTTGATATAATATTTTTTAAAATATAAATAATATTATATGTAAGATTTTGATTTTGAATAATAAAATTTTGAATTAAAATAATAATACAATAATTTAAAGTAATATAAATATATATTAATGTGACATAAAATATAATTTTAATTTTAATTTTAGTGTAATATAATAAATAAAAATTAAATATTTAATTTGATATTTTTGAGAAAAAATGTTAAAATAGTAAAATAAAAAATTAAATCCCACGAGTAAACACACAAAAATTATAAAAATAAGTCTCGGATGGCACAGTAGTGTAGTGTAGGGGTTGGATTTGTAATCATTTGGTGACGGGTTGAAAGCCTGACGCATCATGTTATCTGCTTTTGATAATTATTTCAGTCTAGACGGTAAAATTTTAGAATTATTTTTTTTTTAGAATAGTAAAAAAAAAACAATAGAATTTTGAATGTGAAGGAAGAGTATCATGTATGGTCTAAGCAAGCATGTACCAAATAGCTGTGTTTCATGCAATATTCAACCCCGCTTGATCCATCCTACCATGTTAGAGACTCAGAGGTCAGTGCAGTGCAGCGCTATGCGTGAAGAAACTATGAAATGGAACGTTGTGAAGGTAGACCAACTCTTTTATCTTTTAGATCTTCGCAGTCCTCGCGCGTTTTTCTGACGGTTCAAATGCAAATCGTTGTAATATCGGTTTAGTAGAATACCTTGCAATAGGAATCCATTTAGGTGTTGTTGAGATGCAGCCGTAGATCTGCAACCGATAATTATTTCTAAATGTCGTTGTTAGTGCTTCTACAGTAACGATTAACGAAGATGCAGTGCTTCCTAGATACGCGGAGGCTTTTCTTTTCGAAAAATCAATTCGTAGTTTTCGCTTTGATTTGTTTTTCAATTCTCTTTTTCATGTTAAGTGACTTAAAGGAGCTACATGATGCAATAATCTGATATGCACTGCACTCAAACTGTTTGTTAAATTTACTGTAGGAGTGGAGTGAAGGTTTTTGCAGAAGATTATCCTGCGATAAACCGGAAAACTTTAGGCGTGTTCAGTTCAGGTTCTCTCGATTAACTATTTACTGGTAAGGCAATGATATACCTTTCAGCTACATGATCATGTGATGGATTGATTAATTGAAGCTTTAGATAATTAAGAACTTAGCCAAGGAACATTGCTACGTTTATCATCTTTAAGGCTAGTAGATTGACTAGGCAAAACTGTATTCATGAGATGGCCAATAGATTCCTTCTCTTTGACACGCCATAGGAGCAGGGTGAGCGATGAAAGTAGGATATTGTTGTCCCGGCATTACGACGGTGAAATCGGATGCATATGATGCTTGTACCTGAAAAATTAGATGAACCAATATCAATCAATAGAAACTATGAGTAATTTGTAGCAAACTACATAGAAATCTGCTTTCTGTGCAGTGCTAGTGTGGTAATAAACATATTAAATTAATACATCATATCTAACATCGCTAAGATGTTGAGCCCAAATTCAAGAAGATTGGAAGTAGGCTATTATATATTATCATACCATATGATCTGGGTTTTGAAGCTTCTGAGTTTGTATTGATTCAATCCCACCAGGCATCTCATTTGATGCATTTGGTCTGAATAAGTGCTCATATATAGCCATAATGATGAACATGGATATCAAGATAGCTGTAGCTACAAAGCCGAAAGAAATGGCACTCATGGGTGTGCTAGAATTCTTCCATGAACCTTCTTCCTGATCTGTCTGAGATGAACTAATACTAGAATTGCTATTTATACTCCACGCCCTTGCTCTGCCGGTGTCGAACCCGCTCATGTTTGTTTGAGCTTCTGACCTTTGGGACATAGAGATTTCTAAGCTTTTCCTGTAAGTAGGAAAGAATAGAGATCATGGGATTGGAATTAAGAAACATGTAAGTGATCCCAACACCTTAATAAATTTGGAGATGCTTATTTCTGCTTTACCAACATTTGTTTTAGCTTTAAGCAAAAGATTCTAATGCACTGAGACTACAGAACAGCAGAAATTTGAATTATTATTACCTGAAGAGAGGGAATTATTAGCTTGAAGTTGTCTCAATAGTTGCTTCTTCTCTATGGTAGTTATTAAGAAACTTTGAGTAGCACCAAATTCTTTAGCGAAAAAGGCTCCTTGTCTTGAAAGGACCAGACAAACCTTTCTCAACTCTTTATATAGATAGATAGAGAGGGAAAGGGAATACTCCATAACTAATATTAACTATTAAAGTCATGCATGACTGACTAAGCCTTGTAATGACAAAAGCTAATCATTCCTTAACAGGACATGAAAATTAGTTTCCTACTGTCTTAAATCAATATTGGTATGTCCCCTGGGAAATGGATTTAGAGAATACTGATCCTCAATGGTTTAAGTTTAGATAGTATTTTTGTTGCTCCATAGGTAGGATTGGATGCACTATGTTTAGTGCACGTGAGCAACCTCAAATTAGTTTAGAACTTCACGTGAATTCATTGCACAAATAGAAAATATCTTTAATATAAAAAAAACATTCGTTTTGATTGTTGTATTCAAACTAAGATAAAAAGTTGACATAGGTGTTACGGGTATGGTTGCAGATCCTGTGCTGAGTGCTAATTTGATCGAGTTAACATATGTTATTACATATAACCAGTATATATTTACACATAGTGCAAAATATATTGAGCTATAATATAATATATACTGAATTATAATATAATATATATTGTATTATAAATATGCTGAGATATGTATAAATATATGTAGATTAACTGTATAACATATACTGATCCAGTTAAATTAACACCGTGCTTACGTACCTGAATCAACAGCTGATTCATGCCCTAAGGGTATAATTTCGTTTGTTCATGCAAAAATTAAAAAGAGTATGAATTACATGATCTGAATCATCCTTACGTCCATACACAAAGACAAAGGCGGATTATAAATACAATAATGTACCAAACAAATGTACCATGTAGCTGCATAAATACCAACCAATGATAAAATAATACTTACCAAATAATTAGGCAACGGCCTGGGTGGTGTCTCTATGTCGGTTACTTCTTTCTTTTATCTACGGATTGAGTTTAGGATTAATCTTTAAATTGGACTCGTTTTGGACTTAATTTCAAACCACATCGACAAAAGAAATGAAATTTCGTATAATTCGATCAACAATTCACAGCCAAGCTAACCAGTGTCTGGGTAGAAACATCATCCCATTTCACCATGTTGTGTTGGTGACAATTTGTACATTTTTTGTGGCATTTTATGGTTAAATTTTGTCTACTAATTGGAGGGATATAAAATTAGATTAAATGGCTTTTCCTCTTGGAGTGATTTATTGCATAATGCATGGGGCATTGCTAACAGTAAAGAATTTAGGAAGAGCCTGCAGCAAGTAGTACCAATATTTCCGATCAAAACAAAAACAAGTCTTTGCTTGCTGAATCATGATGTTCTGACAGAAAAAAACAAGCAAAAGAATAATAAGCCTTAGCTTGCTGCAATAAACGTTGTATGCAGCAGAACAGAAATGATTCATATGAAGAAAGTTATAAGGTTGTGTAATAAAAAAGAAAGAGCAGCAGCAGCTGAGAAAAAGGAGTTGATGTAGACCATACCCATAATGTTTATTCCTTGATCATTTTTTCTTTCCCCTAGAAAGAAAGAAAACCTGTCATAGGTACCCACCCAACAACTCTTTGTCAGAAGAACCATTTAGCCATTTCTAAGAATGATTTTGAGTTCCATTGCTGAACTGACCCATTTGAGGCTGCAAATATTGGGACATAGTTTAAGTAAAAAACACAGAAGATGAACCTTTTTAAGAGAGAGGGAATGAGACTTTTTCTCTTTCTGTTCAAGCTAACTACACATTTTTCCAAGGTGACAATCACCATGTCTTTGAAAGATATGATCACATAAAATGCTTTTAAAAAGAAAAAATCTATACCTTAACAATCATTATAATGCCATACAACCCATGTGCATAACCATCTTCTGCCATGTTTGTTTTGAAACATGGGAAAATAATTAAAAAGTATATTTTGAGAATTACTCATGTCATATAACTCATCAATCAATATTCTTTGTCTGTTACCACGACTATGATATAATAGCTAAGATTGGGTCCAATTGTTGATTTACCCCAATTGTTCCTATAGAACTAATTATCTCATCATTTAAGCCATTAGCTAATGTTTCTTGTCTAACTCTAATGATATGTAAATTTATAGTTAAATTTGAATTTTATTGTCATTAGATCCTATAGACTGTAGTAGATTCAACATCGCACCAGCTTCAGATTCTGCCATGTAACTATTAAGTACAGTGGTGTTCAACAAAAATATATAAGGTTGTGTGCAGCAAACGGCCGTGTAGAAATGCTAACACGGCCGTGTTGCAGATGCAGCAACCGCTGGTTGGTTTTGTCATCTGTTATAATAGACATGGTCACATTTCATGGTTACATGTCAGTATCTTTGCCAGATTAGTCAATAAGGCTAAGCTGTTTCCGTGTCTGACTAATACTCCCTCCGTCCCACATAATTTATTCCTATTTTCTATTTTCGTCCGTACCACATAACTTGTCCTTTCTATTTTTGGAAATATAATTATGCACTTTAATCGTCTTTTAAATTTTAAATTTTATAATTTTTTTAATTTTAATTAAACTATTTACTTATTTTAATCTTAATTTATAATTATTTTTACTAATACATTTTTTAATTACTTACTAATTATACTTTACCTAAATTTTCGTATCTACAGCAATACACCAATATTACATAAGACGGAGGGAGTATATTATTAGAAGATTCCACACAAGTCCCCAAATCTAACTCCTTCAATATCAAGTTTTTTTTTTTTTTTTTTTTTCTTTTTTTGAGAAAATTCAAGAATAAATTGAATCGGTCACATCTCCATCAAACATCCTCTAATTTTTTTTTTTCAAAAAAGTATAATATATATACAAAAACAAATAAATAACCAACAATTCAACACAAAAAAAAAAAAAAGTATAAAATTGACACTAAATATTATTTTTTATATTAATAGCATTTTTCTTTATATCTAACACCATAAATACCTAAAATTAAAAACACTAAACAAAACTACATTTAATTAGTATATATAATCAACTGAATTTTAGTTTAAGTATAGTTAGAAACAACACTCCAAACAACTTTCTCCCACTAATATATGTTTGGGCTATCAAAGCTTGGAGGGAGGGACAAGAGAAAAATTAAAATAGCAAGGGATCACATCAACAAAGATGGCTCATTGTACACTTGTTCAATCAATCCCCAAGTAACCATTATTATTACATACTGTGATTCTTTAATAATAACTAAATTAAAAATTAAAAAAATAACACACAGTGCAAAAGAATAATTGTGTGAGTGGTTGCTTTCTTGGTTTACCAAATGAGCCCTGCTCTGATTCAAAGATGGAAACCACCATAGGATGCACAGACATCACAAAGGACCAATAAGTCCACTTGGACCTTGACTGGATCCCTACCCTACCATACATGCCTTTTGTGTATTGGAGTCACTTCAATATTAAAGAAAAATTAGCTTCTGCTTCCTAAAGACAATGCCCCATCATCACAAATCTCTACCAGAATCACATATATATGTATCTATATATATATTTATAAATTCACATAATTTTCATGGATGGTACCATTCATTTCTCACTGCCTTTGCTGCTCTTCATTTTTTGTGCTTTTTCTTTCCTTCTTCCTTTCTTTTGACATTATTCATTATTTTAAGGCAATCCCTTTCACCTTTTCAGCATGTTTACTAATAATTCTCTGGGCTTAATTAGAATATCTACTCAAACTTGTTGTTAGCAGATTTGATTCATTTCAATTTATGAAGTTAATGATAGATTCTTGTAATCCAATTTCACTTTTGGATTGCATTATTGTCTATAATTGGGACCTGGTTGGTTAAATCTTGAACCTGACTGACTCGACTCGACCCACATAGTTATCGTTGATGATTGATCTACTACTACTCTTTTCATTTTTTTTACAAACACATATCTTGATTTAAAAAATTAAGCATGTTATGCCAGGAGATAGATTGTATAGCCACACTGATTCAGTTTCGAAAAATAAACTACAAGTTTAGCAGTTGGGATGTTGAGAACACATATTTTGGTGTATGTTTTTGTCTCTTTTATACTCCATCCGTCCCAGTTAATTGTCTCATTTAATTTAGGCACGGAATTTTAGATATTACGTAATTAATAAGTAATTAAGAAATATATTAGTAAAAATAATTATAATTTAATAAAAATAATTATAGATTAAGATTAAGACGTCTAAATAGTTTAATTAAAATTAAAAAATTATAAATTATGAATTTTTAAATATAATTAAAATATATAATTATCTTTCCAAAAAAAAAAGAATAAAAATAGAAAGAATATACCAATTAAGTAGGACGGATGAAGTACTAAATAAATGTTTTTGCATATCTTCGTGAGTCCTGATGATAGTTAATAGTGAACATGACTTTTAATTTGTTGCTGATTAAAGTTAGTTGTTTAAAGGACACAAATATTCTTTTCACATTCTAACTATACTACACTAAATTAAAAGAAATGATCTGATGACTACTACAAATACACATTAAGTGGTTAATGCTCACACTTACACGGTTCGCAATCCAACACCCCACCCCACCCCACCCCACCACCTTTACTTTAGTACTAACCACCATTTCAAGGTGAAGTACAGTTTGTTAATTGTAGTGTTGGAGTGAATCAACTTGAGACTCAAATCATTTTGAATTCTTTATCTTGTTTTAAATAGTAGATGTTTCCAAGGATAAATCCTGCAGGTAGAAGACACAAATTCATCCCAAAAGTCAAAGTCAAACATAAAAATTACTCCTTTCATTCCATATAGAATATCTATGTTTTTCTATTTTCGTTTGTATAGCATAATTTGTTATTTATTTTACTGAAAAATTATTATATATTTTAATCATATTTTTTACATTTCATAAATCTAATATTTATCTATAACTATTTTTGTTATACCATAATTATTTTTATTAAAATACTATACTTTTTGATTTATTCACTGACTATACTTTTCTTAAATTTCCATTGTATTTAAGGTAAAATGAACAAATTTTATAAGACCGAAGGAGCCCATATCAGGGGCTGAACTTTAATTATTTTAACTATACTTGTTTTAGTATTAGATAATCGTAGTCATAATAGCATCACTATTATAACTGTACATATGATTTTGGCACAGTTAAGTTTGATAGCTGTTTCATTATTGGGAAGTAGACTAGTCTGTCTGTGGAAGTGAAAGCTTTTGCCTTGACCTGACATGTGTGCACTTATTACTTGAGTTGCTGTTTCTTTTGTGGAATCATCTGTCAGTCACTCAGTCAGTCATGTGGAGTCACTCAGGTTGATTGCCTTTTCTCCTTAAACTTAGAGCAAATGCAATGGTTTAGGTGAATGACAAAATCACCCAGCGGTTCTGTTAATTTGTGTCTCATAGTAAAAAAAATTCTCTCAAGTTTGACCATTGTGAATGCAATTTTTTTTAATCTAAAGAAAATAGTCTCTTTAAGTGAGAATTTCTTTTTTTATGGTCTATTGCGTTTGCCCTTTATAACAGTGTGTTCTTTACCAAAATTATGTAATTTATAGTATGGTTTAGACAACGGTTCCAGAATATATTACTGTCCTGGTTGGTTCAATCCAAAAAGTGTCTATGAACTATGGAGCTCCACATATAAAAAGAACTAATAGTCGATCATCACCTAGTCTTTAGTTTCAAAGAGAGAACAAGGATGACAGAGGAAATAGATAATATCATTATTATAGTGTACCCATTAGATACCAAAAAAAAAAATTGAACAGATTAACAATGAATGCATAAATATAGAATAGACTCCTAACACGGCTTATTTTTCAAGATTTAAAAATTAAAACAAAAATTAATATGCATATATACTCTAATTTATTTGCTGAAAAATGATACCACATCAAAACCCTTTCAATGCCCAAACAGAAAGATTCACTTATAAAATGACCTCATATTAAGTCTTACAATAAGGTATATGAAGTAACAGATAGATAGCTGATAATATGTTCTGTATGTAAATGAAAGACTACAAAAATTCCTTAGTCCACAAACCAAAATGAAAAGCAGTTTTGATCAAATGAAGCAAAGAGAGCAGGCAAGAAGGAACCTTAGGCCTTGACTTTTCCGTAGAACTTGGCCTTCTCCTCGTAGGTCTGGAAGCGACCGTGTCCAAACTTAGATGATGTGTCGATAAACTTCAGTTTGATCTCCTCCAATGCAACCCTAGACGTCTGGTTCAACAATGACTGCCTCAGTGTGACCACACGTTTCTTCGGACCAACACAGCACCCCTTTATCAGAAGATAGTCATCCTTCACTATGCCATAGTGAGGAAATCCTCCCATCGGCGTAATATCCTTCTCCGTCCTAAAATCATACAACCAACAACAATCAACAAAACATAACACTTATATCTAGAAAAGAATAGCATCAAAACATTAGGGACTGAGACTGGAACTGACCTGTCGAACTCGGTCATTGCATTATGGGATTCCTGCCCGACCTTCCCAAGTTTGTAAATTTTCTTGTTCAGCTCGGTTCTGTGGTGGTACCCGTTCTGACCTGCTCGAGCAACAGTGAAGGATACGCGGGCAGGATGCCAGGCACCAATGCAAGCAACCTTGCGGAGCCCCCGGTGGGTCTTGCGAGGGAGGCGAGTGACACCCCAACGGGTGACTACACCCTCGTATCCCTTACCCTTAGTCACCCCAATAATGTCGATCATCTCATCTTTCTGAAAAACAGAATCAATAGGGACCTGCTTCTCAAATAGGCTGTAGGCAAAATCGACCTTCTTTGCAGCATCTCCGCCGTTCACTTGGATTTCCATCAAGTGGGCTTTCTTCTGCTTAAGTCCTTTCATTTTGCGAATCTGAACAATCGAAGTGTTGTCTATAAGTTCGGAAGCACGCAAACAAGACAGATCAAATGATTTAAAGAAAGTTGGATGCAGACCTGAGTATGCGCCAGAACCCGGATTACAGTGCTGTACTTCTTCAATTTCTCCAAACGAGTTTGAATGTCCTTCTTGCCTTCATCGCTCTCGAGCTTCTTGGAATACTTTGTGAAAGCCTTCTTCTTTGACTTACACCAGTTCTTGTAGAACCTCCTCTTGACTTCCTCGCTAAGATGTTGGGCCCAAACAGTGTCCAGACAGCGAAGGCCACGTGGTGTCTTAACATATCCCACAACTCCAACAATAATCATTGGAGGGGTTTCAATAATTGTAACTGCTTCACATGTTTCCTTCTTGTGGAGCTCTGGATAAAACAATCAAAATATGATTATATTTCACATACCCACAAAGAAAAAAGAAACAAATGCATAATTCATGGTATAGGAACTCACTCGACCCTGGCTTCTCAACATCACGAACAATGTGTGTCATACCAGCTTTGTAGCCAAGGAAACCAGTTAAGCTACATTTCTTTTTGGGATCATCTTTGGGAAAGGCTTTCACTGCAGAAAATATACGAAAATATCATCAGGTAAAAAAGACACAAAAGAAGGAAAATATACATATAAATATCATATAGTTGATACAACACAGACCATGGTTAAGTTGGCTGTTATTTGAGGGAACATGACTAGATCTACAATTTATTAATATTAAATTAACCGTGTATACAATAACAGACCTTTTCCTCTGTGACGGGATGCCCTTTTCCTTGGAAGAAATCCCAAAGATCCATGCCTGGGGTGCTCAAACTTTCTGTGAGACATTGTTTCTCTGCACAAACTCATGCAATTTAATTTATTTCTCATAATATGTCAGTTGCAACATTCATCTTGTCACATGTTAATAAAAGCTCCAAGTAATGAAATATTTTTAACTGAATTGTTCAATAGTTCTACAAATCATAGTGACAGATATATATATATATATAGATTTGTACATAAAACTATTACATTAAAGGAATGCTCAGACACTTCGTAAGATTGAACAAACATTGCTAAAACTAGGATAATATAATTCTATGAGTGTTAATCACTAGGCTCAACCAAATTCCTTGCACGTAAAAAGAAATGCTCCCAAACCAAAGGCCTATGGCAAGAATTACCATGCCAAATCTCAAGCTCAGGGGTGTTTCTTCCCAAATACCTCAGGTAAGAGGTATTGGCAGAAGAGCTTTTCTGAGACTCCGGCCTTGATTAAGAACTCAAGGGGATACACTTCAAATCACAGCACTGAACAGGACAAGCCATTGAGAATCAACCCGAATAAAAAACAAAAAACACCACCTTCAAAAATTAACTTCAAAACATCTGTTGCCTAATTAAAAGCTGCAACAAAGATCTCCCAACAGGGACAAAAGATCTCAAAACAAATCCAATCAGAAACTCAAGAGACGAATAAAAAACGAGTCATTACTTGTAGCAAAATTTAGGTTCATCGTAGCTGAAAAAGCAAAACGATTCATTCAATATAAATCATACAAACAGACAATAAATCTACTCCGACAACAGATCTGCCTACAACAGATTCGAAAAAACTCGATATCGATTAAATTTAAGAGCAAGGATTGTTGTAAAACAAGAGATATAGAGTTCTCTACAAGTGCAGTGCAGCTTCGGAAATTTTCAAGACGAAAATTCGAAAGATAATACCTGGGAGAGGCGACGGCGTCGGCTGGTGATGAGAAACCCTAATGATTTGTGTCCCTGAGTGCAGGCAGTAGTGTATATATATATATGACTAGCTGAAAATGAACGGCTGAGATCACGTGAGAGTAGGCTTAAGAACGGTCAGATCATATTAGGGTTTCTGCTTCGGTTAATTGGGCTTCGGTCACATGCCTCTTTAGTAGGCTCATATATTGGGCTTATAGTATATAAGTATTTGTTTTATTGGAAAGTTAGTGGGTATGATTTGTTATTCAAATCAAGATTTTTGTCACGATTTTTAATAACAATAATATTATTATTATTATTTATTTTATTTTTATAAAATATTATATTATATATTATTTAAACTTAATTTTAATTTAATTTAAAATTAATATTAAAAAATAAACTATGGATTTTATATACTTATATATTTTTAAAATGTTTAGACCTATTCAATAGTAAATTTTAAAAGTATTATATTCCCTCCGTCCAAGTAAAAAGTATATATTTACTTTTGATACGGAATTTAAGAAATAATAGTATTTTAATTATAATGGGCAGGTATAAGTAGTGTAATGATATTTTTGCCTTTACTTTTTTGGTATAAAATTAATGATGTGACGTAAAGTAGAGTTATTCGTAGAAAAAATAAGGTATTTAATGAAATAGTTACTTTGTAATTGGACGTCACAAAATAGAAATATGTATACTTTCTAGCTGGACGGAGGGAGTATTATTTTTTCTCATAAAATATTATACTTCTTCCGTCCACTTTGAAAGTTTACATTTACCTTTTGCATCATTGTATTTAAAGTTAATAATATCATTATATTTGTATAAATTTTTATACAAATGTCATTATATTTGTATTATAAAATACTAATAGAAGTATTTTTGTGTTATATTTTTATGTAATAATTAATATTAAAAAATCATGCAACAAGTAAATAAAAACCTTTTAAAGTGGAGGGAGGAGGTATAAAATTTTCAATCCCTTTATTCTTTACAAAAGTTTTCAAAACTTCAAATTTTTAAAAATTTATGTCTAACCATAGGCCTAATTGTAGTAAAAGAAGCTTAAAAGTATATGTGAAAGAAAATTACATTACATTGAAGGGAATTTCTATAATGCATTGGAAGTAAAAAGGTTAGATTATATTATACCAACATTAAAGAGAATTCTTTTAACAAGAAGATAAAAGCTTAGAACAAGATGAATTTAAAAAATAAAATAAAATTCACACTGACGCCGTTAAATTTTAACTTTATCAAACCATTATGTTCTCGTGGTTTCTCTCTCTTCTGTTCTTTCTTCTTCTCTTCTCCACAACTTCTTTCTTTCATCTTCTTTTCTTCCCCAAATTCTTCTTCGCACATCTTTTTCTCAATTTTTCTCTTATTCTTCTATAATTCTTTTTTCAGGCCATAGCAGTTCCACCCGTTTTTTTCTTTTCTTCTTTTTCCTCAATTTTTCTCTTCTTATTCTCCAATTCTTTTTCAAGCCATAGATCCACCCGTTTCTTTCTTTTCTTATTTTTTCCCAAATTTTTTTTTCTTTTTCTTCATCTTCAAATTTTCTTTGAAGAATGAAGAATTGCAAAAGAATAAGAAGAGAAGAAGATGACGAACGGCTAGAGTAGGGAAGAAGAAAGGAAGAAAAGAAAGAGAAAAAAGTGGTTGGACATCATTTTTTTTTTGGTTTTTTTTTTCCGGCAATTTTATTTTTCTTTCTCTATCTCTTTTTTCTCAATTTTCTTTCTTCTTTATTTTTTCTCCCTAATTCTTTCGTACACGGTTGCAACCACCAGCAAGTTCTTTTTGTCTTCTTAAATTGATTTCAAATCTTGATGTCAAATTGAATTTTTAGATTTTTGGGTTTGGTAAAAACAAAAGAAGTATTTCTGGGTTTGGTAAAACAGAAGAAGAAATAGACGGTGAATAATAACTTAAGCATTCTCATCTCCATCTCTTTGTCCGGTCAATTAATTGTGATAAATTTGGTAAAATTTATGTTATGTTTAGCGGATTTAAAAAAAAAATTGAATGAGGAAGAAAAAGAAAGAAAAACAATAAGGAAAAAGAAAACGAGGAAGAAGAACGAGGAAGAAGAAGTTGTTGTAAAAAGTAGTCAATAAGAGTATTTTAGTAATTTTATATAAAAATATATCATTTTATGGAGAAAAATCGCATTTTAGGCGCGTGATATGCAACCTCTGTTAAATCCTAACGGACGGGGGATTTTTTGTAATATTTTACAAACCTAGATTTTTTGAAATTTTAGAACTACGAAGAATTTTCAACAAATTGGGTAAACCGAAGGAGAATTTTGCTGTTTTGCCAATAAAATATTATTTTTGGTTAGAATGCTAATACGGTATTAATGAAAAGTATATTAATTTTTTCAATCAGCATATAAAAATATTATAATGATAAAATATAAAATATAACATAAATATATATTGTATAAAATATTAATATGTGTTGTTATTCTTTTTCTACGAGGATTTCATCCCCGAAACCACCTCCGTGTATTACTACCGTTCTAATTTTTCACATGGATTAGACACTAACACTTCAAACTTCTAAAAAGCTACTTCACAATAATTGGGTTGGAGGCTAAAGGACACTGAGTTTCATTTAATACTTTCTCCGTCCACAAATTAACGTTCTATTTTTCTATCTGGTATATCAAACAACTTTCCATTTCCTTTTTTAAATACAAAATTTACAGGGCAAATTTGTCCATTTATAACAAAAAGACAATCACCTAAAAAAACTGTGCAAATATATATTAGTACAATAAAAATTAGACGGAGGGGGTATATTGTATTTAATTTAATTTTTTTATTTAAATGCCAGACTAATTTTTATTTCATATTATATTATATATGATTTGTTTGTCCAACATTTTATCCTATATTGATATTTAATATTTGTATGATATAATATAAATATATGTCGATGTGATATTTGAAAATAAATTGATTTTTAATATAATATAAAAAATAAAAAATAAAAATTTAATTTGATATTTTTTAAAAAAAATATTTTTATTTTATGAATAGTAGACTTTTGTTAAAACTCCATAAACGAACACACCCTTGACATATTACGCTTGGACTCCACATCAAACAAATTTTTAAAAAAATAATAAAAAAATTCAGAAACATAAATAAAAAATTCAAAGAAGAATTACATATATTTTATTATTAATAATATCGATATTAGGTGGGCCTCACAACCAGAATTTTAATAAATAAATAAATAAATAATTAGATAATGATACATAACAGATCAAAATCAAGCCTAAATAGTAGATAGTAGAGAGTAGATTATTTCAATCTATGCATTTTATTTATTTAAATTGTCCTCCAGCCTTTAATTTGTCTTCCAATTGTCTTATTTTTGTTATATTTATTTATTTATTTATTATTATTTTCATGTCCAATTCATTTTTTCGCAATCAACTCAAATGTTTTTTTTTTTTTTTTTTTTTTTTATAAAGCCAGCCAAAACAAACCCAATTTCTTAGCCTTCCTACCGACCCAACCTGGGGGCCATCCGAGGGAGAATTTCTAATGACAAACAATGTTAAATTATTAAATTTGCACTCCAAGAATAACAACAATTTTTTTTCTTTCGATCAAAAAAAGACAAAAATGTTGGAAGCAAATAAATAAAACACACTCAATTTTCACATAAATAATAATCATAATAAGGATTGGCATACGAAGCAGACAGAGCAAATAAAAATAAACATGGTCCGAAAATTTAATATGAACCCGGCATTAAAAACTCGTGTCTAGGCCTAAGTAAATATGCCAAAAAAAAAAGGGCCATGCTAGTCTGATATGAGTATGAACCAGGCCGTGTCCGGACCATCAAGATTCAATTATATCCGGTCTGGCCCAATTTGCAAATAAAATATAATTTTAAAAATATATTAATAAATGAACTTATATGAAAATAAAAACGGGAGGAATAGGGTGCTGAAATTTTTAATTCAGCACCCATGCTGAACACTTTAAATTAATTAGTCTAATTTATATAATTAATTAAAATAATTAACATAATTTTATATCATCAAACTTTAAGTGTCCAGCACCCTATCTTCTTCCAAATAAAAATATAGTTTAATAATTAAGCTTCTCCCACACTTTACCACATTAAAATTGGGCCTGAATTTTCAAACTGGATCGTACTTGCCTGGTCTAAAAGTATTATCTGATCGGACCGACCCGATTTGCCAGCTCTAGACTTTAGTCTAATTGGCGCATAAAAAACCCAAAGGCCTCCAAAGCTAAAACAATATATACAAAAATAATCAGATCGCATCATAGCCCAATTGAGAAGAAGACCAAACTGACATTCTTATATGCCCTGAATTGTAGTTATAAAATTCAAGGCAAAATTAGGAATAAAATAAAAAAAAAAAGTAAAAAGGCAAGAGGACATGAGATCTCACCACTCTCCTCCAACTCACCTCCACGCATTCAAGTGTAAAAAAAATAAATTCCTGGGCAGTTTTTTATTTTATGTATATATTTTTATAATTCTATTTGATTTTTATATATATATATATATTATAAAAATTCTTATTCTTTACTTAATAATTTAAATATTAATATATTTGTATTTATATTTAATTTTAAAAATAAATAATTTGATATAAATATATTACTCTCATGGTCCTATAAGTAAATATTCATTTACTTTTTACATGTAGTTTTAGAAATATTAATATTATATTATGATACAGTAAGAATAAAATATAAATGATTAAAATAACCTCATTAGTATGTGTGATATAAAAGTAATGATATTTGTGTAATATATTGTAAGTTGAAAGGACATTTGTAGTGTTAGATAGATAGTACAGAAAAGAAAATAGATACTTGGACAGACCAAAATAGAAAAATGGATACTTTGTTATGGGATCGGAAGGAGTAAAAGAAACATGACCTATATATTACAAAATATTATTCATTCGTCTGCCAAATTTATTCATACTTTTTTCATCCATTCATAAAATCTATTTCATTATTATATTTGGTAAAATAAGAAACAAACATTTAACTATTATCTTTCATTCAATATTTATATATAATAAATGTTTCTAACTTTATTACCTCTTTTTTTTTTTCTTCTATTTGATTATCAACTAAAATTTCAAAAATACTCGTAATCATCATTTCAATTTTCTTTTCACTTTTTTAACATAATATTTATTTTTAAATTTTCGTTTTGGACCCAAATAGACTATTTTTTAGCAAAGGAAGAAAGTATTTGATACAACTTTAAAGAGTGCAGACAATCTGTTGGCAACATCGGGCATGTTTAGCCTATGTATTTAATTTAAATATATTGAATTTGCACAAAATAATTCTATAAACTCAATCTAATTTAATAACAAGACATATTGAATTTTCATAGAATAATCTATAAACTCAATCTATTTTGCCCATCATTTCCAAGTCATATCATATAACAAACAAACTCATATGAGTTAACAAAACTTAAACATCAAAAGAATAAATCAATCTTCATCCTTTAATTTTAACAGCTCTACATTCAATTTTCCTTCACATCTCCAAGAACTAGGTAATATTTCAATTTAAACCCTAATCCCTTCAAATTTACGAGAACAAGGTAATAGTTCAATCTACTTGTCAAGATCTTCGGTCTCGGATCAAAACTCGGCACTAGAGTAGCAACAAACTTTATACATACACACAAATGTATGTATATACATATGTGTGTATGCACTCCGGTACCGGGTAAAAGCCCGGGACCGAGGATCCCATGTGCAATCTACTAATCCACAAACACAACACATATACACAAACAGACACACATGCGTGGTCTTGGTGTATGTTTGGTTGATAGAACTGACAAAAATTAACACAATCATTCGATAAGTCAATTCAATTATAATATATTAATATTAATTGATATACTTATTGTATATATGAAAATAATTTTAATTTAATATTTCTTTTCAAAAAATTATTAATTTAAATTAATCCAACCCAAATTTTTGATAATTTTTACTATGTACCGTGTACATATACAAATGTTTTTGATTGACTTACTGATTTTTTGTTTTATTTTGGATTAATTATTTTAATTTGTGGAATTTTTATTTTTTATTTTTTTAAACAGATAAACAGATCAATTTTGTTTTAATTGGATCGGGTCGAATTTTTGTTGGATCATCTACTCTGTTCAGAAAATTATTAAGTAGGTTAACGGATCATTGAACGAATTTGAGTAGATTGGATTCGGGTTGTATCTTCTACCCATTTAAATAAAGAGATCGATTTTGAATTGACCCAACTGAACCTGTTTAACAATTCAACCCGACCCGACAGAGCCCATTCCAGCCCTAGTGGTTGGGTGGAAATGACTATTCTTAATAGAAAAGAGAGTGCACAGTTTTCCACGCATAGGATGGTCATAAAATTATCTTGTTTTCAATAAAAAATAAGAATGACTAATCTTTCTTGGATATTTAAGTTAAAAACAAGAGCACTCTTTTCCATGTGAAAGAAAGCTAGTGGATTTCTGTGTCTTTTCCTTTGTTTTCTTTCTCTAGTGGAAGATCAAAAGCAAATCCACCTCCCTCCCTCCCTCATTCATTTCTACTTTTGCTTTTTTCAGCACTCTCTTTAGGACTGACTATTCCATATTCTAATAAAGCTCAAGTATCACAATACTATAACTATATGTGAGTATTTGGTCCCATTACTGCAGGACAAGCCAGGCAGGAGAGAGAGAGAGAGAGAGAGAGAGAGAGAGAGAGAGAGAGAGAGAGAGAGAGAGAGAGAGAGAGAGAGAGAGAGACTCTAATATATAAATAAATCAATCAATGATGAATAAAGCAGCAAGCAAGCAAGCAAGAAAGAAAAAAGCTTCAGTGGTTGATTCTTCCATGCAACCTATCCATGCTACATAATTATATATCGATCATCACTCTTGACCAGAGAAACAAAAAACAATGTCATCATTTAATAATAATCATCTTCTTTTACTGGCACCTCTCTGATGTCTCTTTACTTTTTCTTTCTTTGGTTCTGAACTTTGATGGTGTATTTGTGCATCAAAGTACAGCATTTTGTGTCCTTAAATACTAGATTCTTCCACGTTATTATTATTATTATTATTATTATTATTGATGCACGTAGGTATCTTATGCAGGCATGCAGCACTGAGATTGAGGGATTTCGTACCTTATTTATGTGTGTATATACTTGCATCTTTCTGTGATAGTATAATCTCTCTCTTCACTTTCCAAGAATCCTGTTTTGTAATTTAACTGCACTTAGACCATCACAGTAAACCCACAAACAAATTACCATGGGAATTTTTTTTGTAAATAAATGAATTTACTTTTTTGATAAGGGTTCTTAGCCAAGCAACAACCCATTCACTAGGAAGGTCCAATGATTTTCCTGTTGACAAGAATCAGGTGTTCAAATTAGAACTAATGAATAAACCAACATCATAAAGACCATTATATAGACTGGTAAAGCAGATGATCATCAGAAGCATATGTCACAATCCTTTGAGCAAGTTTAGAGTTGGAACCTGCATTTTTACTGAATTCAGCATCAGTTTTCAATGAAAAATGTTAAAAGAAGAATTTATTTTGTAAAAGTTCTAGTGGGGGGGCACAAGTATATGCAATGCAAGAATCAGCAAAACATATATACATAGATACGCTCTACACTTAGCAGTAATGGTCCCAAAATATCTGATATGATCATGTAATATAGCTGTGGCTTTGGCTTTATGCACAGTTAAAAAACAAGATACATAAATGCAATGAAAACTACAATCCCACACTACACAGCAATGCTGTTGTCATCATCATCAATTCATGGGGTCAATGACACTAACGAGGTGTGTATCATTGAACCAGTGCAAAGAATTGATTGCGGAACCCCACTCTTTCCACTTTATTTTTACATTGATGTAACCAACCATGGAAAACAAGAATCCATGGCTATCATTTATCAGAAATGTGAAATCCAACTCAGCTTGTTCAAAGTGCAGTTTCATCATCTATCACTCAAAGAAAGTAAAAGGTTTATCTATCCTCCTTTGGTTAAAGGTGGAGGGACAAGGGGTAATTTAGTCCAATGCATAAAGAGGGGAGCAAGAAAGAAAAGAAGGGAGAATCATACTTTACCTATTTTTTTCCCCAGTGTTGTGCACATTCTCAACTTCAAATTTAGCAATCCAACGGATGCTTTTTTATCCACAAAAAAGTGCTGTTTATAGTGTGTCCTCCCGCCCTTGTAAAACTTCCTTTCTTTGTATCTGCTACTTTGCTTAAGATCCTGATAACCTCTGCAAAACAAATGTTTACCAATATGTCAAATTTTGATCTGATTCTTCTCTTGTGAGCTGAAAGAAAAAGAGGAAACTAAAGGGGAGACACAGAAAAGGGAAGGTTTACCTTCTTCCTTGAAGTCTAATTATGTTTAGCTTTCTACAAGATGATTGGTGCTTTAACCCTCCTATACAAACTTGAATTACTTCTTCAGTTCATCTCTGCTTTTACTCCCTTTTACAGGAGAATTCGTCGTTGTCCCTCTTAAAATCATCAGAGTATTCATTCTTCAAGCCATTCCAAAGTCATTGCTTCCCATGAAAAGTTTCTACTAGAATATGGTTCCCTTCATTATTTCAGCAACGACAGTACTCTTCTTCTTCTTCACTATCACTTGTGTTTCTTCCACCATCCTTTCAGATTTCCATGCATTGATGGCTCTGAAAGAAGGATTCCAATACTCAAACCCAGCTACAGACACATGGAATTCTTCCAAAGGCCCGGCCTCAGTCTGCTCGTGGAGTGGAATCAGATGCTTCCGTGGCCGAGTAGTCTCCCTCAACATATCAAGCATGAATCTGTATGGCACCATTTCACCTCAAATTTCAAGGCTCGACAAACTGGTGGAGCTTTCCATTGATGGGAACAACTTCACTGGTGACATCATGATCGAGAACCTGAGCTCTCTTCAGTTCCTCAACATGTCGAACAATCAGTTTAGTGGTGGTCTAGATTGGAACTACTCAAGCATAGCCAATTTAGAAGTTCTCGATGCATATAACAACAATTTAACTGCCTACCTTCCCATTGGCGTGTTGAGTCTGAAGAAACTCAGGCACATGGAATTGGGAGGAAACTTCTTCTTCGGGAGAATCCCAGCAAGTTATGGAAACTTGTTCTGGTTGGAGTACTTGTCATTGGCAGGAAATGATCTTGAAGGTGAAATTCCCAGGGAACTGGGAAATCTCACCAACCTGAGAGAGCTTTCCCTCGGCTATTACAATGCCTATGAAGGTGGGATTCCAAGGGAGTTCGGCAAATTGGTTAGGCTGGTCCACCTGGATCTTTCAAGTTGTGGGTTGGGTGGTTCGATTCCTCCAGAGCTTGGGAACTTGAAGTTACTCAACACATTGTATCTTCATGTCAACAAGCTCTCATGTCCAATCCCAAAGTCATTAGGCAACTTGACAAGCCTGGTGAATCTTGATCTTTCTCTGAATCAATTCCATGGAGAAATTCCATATGAGCTCATCCACCTAAAGAAAATCAAGCTCCTCAATCTGTTTATGAATAGATTCAACAGATCGATTCCAGATTACTTTGCTGACTATCCTGAACTAGAAACTATTGCTCTCTGGATGAACAATTTCACAGGCACGATCCCAAGGAATCTTGGCCGGAATAAGAGGCTGATAAACGTAGATTTGTCTTCAAATCAGCTCACCGGCACCATTCCTGAACACTTGTGCGCTTCCAACCAGCTGAAGACACTGATTCTTTACAAGAACTATTTGTTTGGATCGATTCCAAACGAATTCAGTGCATGTTCCAGTCTGGTTCGGGTAAGGTTGGGGCAGAACTATTTAAACGGAAGCATTCCAGGAGCATTTATTTACCTGCCAGAACTAAATTTCCTCGAATTGCAAAGCAATTTGTTGTCTGGTTCTCTGTCTGAAAACAGGGATTTTTCAACCAACCAAAGTAAGTTAGGCCAAATGAACCTGTCCAACAATCAGCTTTCTGGGCCTTTGCCATCTTCCCTTTCGAATCTTTCTTCCCTTCAAATCCTACTGCTTAGTGGAAATAGTTTCTCTGGCCCAATCCCTCCTTCCATTGGAAAGCTTCAACAAGCAGTGAAGCTAGATCTCAGTGGTAATTCTCTGACAGGTGAAATTCCTTACGGAATTAGCAACTGCATCCACCTCAATTACCTGGACCTGAGCCGGAATAACCTATATGGTTCAGTACCACAAGAACTTTCCAATCTTCGAATCTTGAATTACCTGAACCTGTCAAGAAACCAGTTCAATGAAGCCGTGCCACAATCTATTGGCACGATGAAGAGCCTCACAACAGCTGATTTTTCATTCAATAATCTTTCTGGGAAGCTGCCTGAATTCGGGCAGTTTCTCGTCTTCAATACTTCTTCTTTTGCAGGCAATCCACAGCTCTGTGGAATTGGGTTGAGCAATCCCTGCAGCATGACAAAAACAACAGCTTCAACTGGGAAATCCCATAATGCCTTCAAGCTAATCTTTGCCCTGGGCCTATTAGTATGCTCTCTGGTATTTGCAACTGCAGCCATCATCAAGGCCAAGTCTTTCAAGAAAAGTGACTCCAGTTCTTGGAAAATGACTGCCTTCAGGAAGCTTGAATTCTCAACCTCTGATGTCCTGGAATGCATCAAAGAAGGCAATGTGATAGGCAAGGGAGGGGCCGGTATCGTCTACTATGCCAAAATGTCAAGTGGAGCCGAAATTGCAGTCAAGAAGTTGCTCGGATTCAACAGAGACCATAGCCATGATCATGGATTCAAAGCTGAGATTCGAACACTAGGCAACATCAGGCACAGGAACATTGTAAGACTCCTAGCATTCTGCTCCAACAAGGACACAAACCTTCTGGTATATGAATACATGAGAAATGGCAGCTTGGGAGAGGCTTTGCATGGGAAAAGAGGTGCATCATTATGCTGGAACTTGAGGTACAACATCGCATCAGATGCAGCCAAAGGGCTATGCTATTTGCACCATGATTGCTCGCCTTTAATTGTTCATCGGGATGTTAAGTCCAACAACATACTCTTGGACTCAAGCTTTGAAGCTCACGTAGCTGATTTCGGGCTGGCCAAGTTTTTAGTGGATGGAGCAGCTTCACAATGCATGTCAGCAATAGCAGGATCCTATGGTTACATTGCTCCAGGTATATTTCCTTATCTGTCTTGTTCTTTCCATGCTTTGCAACTTTCTGCTGCTAGCTCTTCAATCATTTCAACAGAATGCAGTCTCCTCAGTTAAAAGAGAATCATAATTAGAAACATCTTTGAATTTCCCTGCCAACACTGTCCTATCTTTTAGTTAGAAGGGTGTCATATGTGTCATAATGGTTGCATCCTGAAAACTCATAGCTCAATAAGTCAGTCCCTGTCAAATAAGACATTCAAAAATGATTGATCGTTTTTTCTTTAGGGAAAACCAATCCAACAACACTTGTTTCTTGATTTTTTCACAATTACAGTGACTGATCATGTTTTAAGTGCTTTTGCTAATTGTATGCAAAGTGATTATTATCTGCATAGTTATGCTAATTTCTCTAGATCCCCAAGTCTAAATCCTACACTGTCCATGTCAAGTATCAAAAAGAAATTAGATATTTGTTAAGTTGAGTATTGGAGTTGGAACATAAACAGAGGAAAGTATAGAGTGAAAGTCTGTTAGAATCGCATAGATTCAGAAACGAGTTGGCATCGGTTCTCGCAAAAGCTAAACCTAAGAATACAACGAATCCGACAAAAGAGCAAATAGAATTCGATGTGGAAATTGAATTTTCAAAAGCATTTACTGAAATTTACCTATGATATTACGAGCTGCAACAGAATACGCATACACTTTGAAAGTGGACGAGAAGAGCGACGTGTACAGCTTCGGCGTCGTCCTCCTCGAGCTCATCACCGGGCGGCGCCCCGTGGACGCCGAGTTCGGGGAAGGCGTGGACATCGTGCAGTGGACCAAGTGCTCGACAAATTGTCGCAGAGAAGAAGTCACTGGGATAATCGATCCAAGGCTGGGCATGGTGCCTAAGGACGAAGCCATGCACCTGTTCTTCGTCGCCATGCTTTGCGTCCAGGAGAACAGTGTCGAACGGCCGACCATGCGAGAGGTGGTACAGATGCTGTCGGAGTTCCCGCGCCGTTCCCCGGAGCTTCAGTCGTCGTCGTCGTGCGACAAGCAGAAGAGACCCGATGAGGAAGATCAACCCGACTTACCGGACTGAATGAATTTCCAAACCCTCGGCCTTTTTTTTTTTTTCCTAAAAAGAATTAATTTTTCGTTATTTATTTCACCATTTTTTTTTTTTTTTGTTTGGTTTTTTTTTTTTTTTTTTTTTTCGTTTGTAAGGAAGAAATAGGAAGCTGTAATTAAAAGTATATGACTAGCATGCCAGCATGGTGGTTAATCAGTTCCAATAGTATAAATTAGGGTGTCCTTTTTTTTTTTTCCATTTAATTCGAATTTTTTTTATTTAAATTTGATATTAAAAAATTAAAAAAAATATTATCTTTTAAAAGAATTTTATTCTAAAACATCAAATTCTCTTAACTTCAAATCCTCTCTGTTACTTTATTTTTCTCAAGTAAAAATTATTTTTATTTTAATGTATATTAGAATTATCAATTTCGGTACAACTATTATTATTTTATTTTATCAATTTTAATTTCATTCAAATTAGAATTTATAATTTTTTAGTCTTAAAGTAGCTCATAAAAACTGAACACGATTGTATTGGAGGACTGAAAAAAAATTGACTAAACTCTGTAGATAACCAACGACAAATTATTATACTTTCATTTAATCAATTTAAAGTATAAAAAAGGGTTATGCAATTTTTTAAAATATAGAAAAAATTTATTAAAATTTCGAAATCACCGGATGTGTTTGGCCGTGGGTTTGGATTTTTTAATAATAAAAAGTTGAATTTGAATAGTTTGATATGATATAAATATACAGAGTGATGTGATGAATATAAAATTAATATATAGTATAATATAAAAAAAAAATTTTTTTTGATTTGATATTTTTAATTTTTTTTCAACAATAGTTTTTTTTTTTTTTTTTTCGACGTTAAATCTATTGGTTATTGTTTGCATCAGCTTGCTCATATTCGCCGTCGAAGAGGTTTCTCAGCAACGAAGTCGATATAAATCAACTAGTTCGGCCGTTGCTTGCTCTAGTTTGTTGCCTTGATGTCTCCGGCAATCGACATGGATCTATTTGTTCCTTCTGTACTCGTTCTTGTTGGCTACTAAAAAGGTGGCTCTGGTGCTCAATTCGACATCAACGGCTACAACCATCCGTTTCCTCCTCCGCCCTATTCCACAACTTTTGTATTTTTCCTTTTATGCTACTGTTGTAGCTACATCATCTTCTTTCAATACCATTTATTAGCATTTAGATATTCTATATTTAATTGTTTTTTGTTTTCTCCAATGGAATCCGACAAAATTAGACATATATTATTTAGAACAAATTTGAATAAATCAAAAAAATCACAGTGAAAGATTGTGTCACTTTTAGAGAATTTGTAAGAAAACAATTCCTCGCAAATTCCGCAATAATAGTTCATTCAATGACCTCACAAATTTCCGTTGCACAATCCGTCTGTAATTTTCATACGAATCTTTTATTGTCAATTCTTTGCCATTGAAACATATACTCCCTATGTCCAGTAAAAAGATTGTCATTTATTTTTTGTACGTAAATTTTTGAATATTAGTATTATATTGGTTGTAGTGAAAAAAAAGACAAAAATAACTTTATTAGTATTGTGTATATAAAAGTAATGATATTTGTGTATATAAAAGTAATGATATCTGTGTAATATAGTGTAAGTTGGAAGTGTACAATTACTAAATTAGGAAATGATAACTTTGTTTAGGGACGGACGAAAATGAAAAATAACAATCTTTCAATGAGACGAAAGAAATATTTATTTTTTTTATTTTAATTTTTAAATTATTAAGTTAACTGTTTATATTTTTAATATAAAATATTTTATTAATATCATAAAAATATATTAAAAAAATCGCCACTAAATAAACATGCATACATTGTTATTATACTCTATTTGTTTCATATCTATTTATCCATTCATTTTATGTATGAAATTTTAGAAATATTCATATTATATAATATAAATGTAACGATATTTGTGTAATATATCGTAAATTAAAATGATATTTGTAATGATAGGTAGATAGTACAATTGCTAAAAAAAAATGAAATGAATTTTTTGTTATGTGACGAACAAAAATGAAAAAATAAATAAATTGTTAAGTGACGGAGGGAGTAAATTACTTTCTTCGTCGTAGAGTTTTAAGTATGATATAATAGGTAAGTAATTAAGAAGTGCATTAGTAAAAATAATTATAATTTAATAAAAATAATTATAAATTAAGGTTATGAGACTAAATAGTTTAATTGAAATAAAAAAAATTATAAATTTAAAAAAGTGATTAAAAATGAGACAAACTAAGTGAGATCGAGAAAGTAATTTTTGTTAAATTTATTTTATTGCTATATTTTAAAAAAAATATGTTTAATTATTATTATTTATTTAATATTTATTATACAAATGACACTAGTTTTATTATTTTTTTAATTATTATTTAAAATTTAAAAATACTGTCAAACTATTTTTTTTTAACCTTTTTTTTTATTTATTTATACTGTCAAGCCCGTCAAGTTGTGTGGGATCTCGATTAACGGTCGAGCGTCGTCGCCTGAATTCACGGGCATGGCATGGCATGGCAGCACGCGAACCGATAATCCTCTTCGATGAATCTGCGTATCCTTCCGATCCAAGAAATCAATCAAGGTTCTAGCGTTTGCATATCTGCAAAATTCCAAAACCTTTCAGCGACTGCTTTGCTATCAATCAACAATGTCCATTTCCCTCTGCTTCACACCCTTGGTCTGCTTGAGCAAAAAGCCTCCTCCCAAACTCCCATTCTGCAAGCCCATAAGCCCTATTTCACTCTCCGCAAGGCCAAGGAGCACTCATTCGACTAGACTTTTCAGCGGTGTTAATTATGGCGGTGATGATAATTTTGAGAATTTAGCAGTCGCGGTGAAACCGAGATGGGAGAATTGGTTGACCACTGCTGCGAGTTTGTATCCTCTTTATGTGACTGTTGGTGGTGTGGTAGCTTTCTTGAGACCTTCCACTTTCGCTTGGTTTGTGGATTTGGGTCCGACTTCTTATAGCTTGACTCTAGGGTTTATTATGCTGGCTATGGGGATTACGTTGGAGCTCAAAGAGTTGGTCGATTTGTTCAGGAAAAGGCCAGTGTCTGTGAGTTTCTTCTTCTTTTTTCCCCCAATTTTGGAGTTGCAGGGATATAATTGTTGAATCTTGCATTGTGTTGCTTATAAAGATTAGGTCATATTTATTTACCGTCAACTGTGTTCAGAAATCACGAAGTCTTAGGTTTTTTCAGATCAGTTAAAGGGAATGGAATAAGATGTATTGAATTAGAAATGCATATTTTTAATTTAGAGTGGTCCCCTGATTTTAGAAATCCTCGATGATTGTCATAAGTTTGATTTCCAGGGTTCAATGGAAGTAATGTTTGTTTTCTTGACTGTTCGTTCATACCATAATCCTGTTTTTCTATTTTTGAATGTATGAGAAAGAAAATATCACGGACTGTAATAAATGATTGTGATTATCCTATTTGATAAATGATAATTCTGATTGTTTGCTCAGATCACCTGCTATTTTTTCTTTGAAAAGCTAGCACCATCTGTTTTTAATCTGCCATTTTCATGTAATTGGAATGGTTCATCCAGGAAAATTTGAAGCTGTCAACTGTTATGAGTTTCAGTGTGCTATCACAAGCTCATATGCTCCTTTTTTTTTTTTTTTTTTTTTTTTTTTTTTTTTTTATCATTTTCCTGATTCCTGCATTTTGTATTGATCATTTTGTTTTTTTATGCAATTTTGCTTTTGGAAGCTCTTTATGCAAACTGTTTCCCAGTCATCACGAGGTTTATGATTCCTTGCATCAGATTATTTATGGTTGTGTTGCCCAATACACCATTATGCCTGCTTTTGGATTTACAGTTAGCAAGTTGTTGGGGCTCTCACCTTCTCTTTCAGTAGGTTTGATATTGCTCGCCTGTTGCCCTGGAGGGACTGCTTCTAATGTGGTACGAGCTATCTATTATAACTCTTTTTGCATGTCTGTAACAACCTTGATTTCCTTGATTCTGTTAAATCAGGATTGTGTTTTGTTGATTTTTGTAAGTAATATAATAGATTATTAATTACTCCCTCAAAATTTAGGTCATAATGACCAAAAATTTTCTTTTTGGTTGGTTTTCCATGATAGATTTCACTATTTTAAGTTGAAGCTCTAAACTTTATGCCAAAATTGTGGTACATAAGCTGAAGACCCAATTTTCAATATGCAGAAATCATTTATCCAAAAATTACTACTACATTTCAGTCTCTGAAAATAGTGTTACAGGTGACTTTAATTGCTGGAGGGGATGTTGCCTTGTCGGTTGTAATGACAGCATGTACTACCCTCGCAGCAGTGATTCTCACGCCACTTTTGTGCAAGATTCTTGCTGGAACTTACATTCATGTGAATGCCACTAACCTAGCCATGAGCACCTTGCAGGTTAATTTGGCCTCAGTTTTACACTTTTACTTCTAATTATTTCCTTTACGCATACTTTATCCACACACTTTACATTTTTTGAACAGGTGGTAGTTGCTCCAATTCTAGTAGGTTCTTATCTGCAGAGTACATTTCCTGAAGCTGTGAAACTAGTGACTCCTTTTGCACCTTTTGTAGCTGTGTTATCTTCTTCACTGCTTGCTTGCAGGTCAAACTTTTCCATTATTTTATTTTATTTTATTTTTAAGCAGCTTCCACATTGTGTTTATCTTCTATCCATCCTCTATCCCCTCCCATTTTCTTCTTTCTTTTATTTATTTATTTATGTCTGAAATTTCTGCCCTGTGTAATTGCAGTGTTTTCTCGGAAAATGTTGTTCGTCTTAAATCTTCAATCTCTGGTCTATCCTTATCACATGATATGTCTCCATTGCTCCATGCTCAAGCATTGCTTTCCAGTGAACTGGGTGTTGTAGTACTGTCCGTCCTTTTGCTTCATTTTGCAGGTTTTTTCGTTGGGTAAAAGTTCTCTCTCTCTCTTTTTTTTTTTGATAACATAGGACCAACAACTGCTCTTTCCAAATGTGCCAAGTGCAATATAACCTACAAACCACTCCAACCTGGTAAGCCACACTAGGGAAGTCTTATGTGACAAGCTTGGCCAAAAAGGCATTGGCAGGTTTTGATTCATTATTCCTTTGTAAAATGCTTTCTAAGAAATGTAGTTTCCTACAGTCATTGCATAGTTCAACTAGTTAATGGCATACTGTAAACTAATTCATAAATACTCACTCTCTCGGGAGTGTTGCATCTTCTCATTTTCAACTTGAAGGCTTTGGTTAGCAGTGCTATTAATACTTATCCAGCTTCTATCTTCTGTTGACCACAAAGTTGCTTTAAACTTAGCAATCATTTTGATCGGTTAAGGATATTCAACAACTAAAATCAAGAGGCAAACTATTTGAACCTACTTCAAACTCTACACCAAGCGTTTGTCTGTTTTGAGTAATATAAATTTTACCTCCGATTGCTTATGAAATTGCTTGGCATTCTGCAGGTATCTATCTGCAGCTATTGGTGGATTTAAGGAGCCACAGAGGCGTGCAATATCAATTGAAGTAAGGTCCTTCTATAATGAAGTTCTGTTATTTGCATGTAGCAAGTATTTAAGACTTATCATCAAAGTTTGGCTGAATTTCAAATTCTTGGATTCCCCTTCTCCATGCTCTTTACAGGTTGGCATGCAAAATTCCTCTTTAGGGGTGGTGTTAGCCACATCTCATTTTACCTCATCTATGGTTGCTTTACCTTCAGCGGTATCAGCAGTAATCATGAACATCATGGGCAGCAGTCTGGGTTGTTTTTGGAGGTTCATCCTTCCTTCTGATCCAAAGGATCATCTCAAGGTTTCTTTTGACTGATGGTCGTACAGATATCAGGTATAACCCGTCATGTACTTATTCAATGTTTGTGTGAAGTCAACTATGCTTCTGTTCTTTTGATGGATAGCATATCTGGCTTTGGATTGAACAACATTCCATTCAGTGTCTATGAGTGTGAATGCGTTGTTATTTGTTGTCCTATTGTAGCTAAGCAATGGTATTGACCATCCCAAGTAATTTTCAGTCTTTGCTTGCCAATGGTTTTAGAATTGTAAATCAAGAGATAGCAATATGTGTCTCTGTATGACAATTGGAGGATCCGAATATATATGTAATCTGTTCATTGTAAAAACTATCAATTTGAAGAAGTCCTATTCCATTATTGGAAAAAGGAAAATCTAACGATGCATAAATCTGGTTTTTTTTATGCAGATTATACTTATTCTGCACATATTAATTGTCATCATAGTCCATAGCCTCACATACTTTGAACTGTACGTGTGTGTGGCTGTTTAAACTTTAAAGTACGAATTAAATTATAAGCATTACATACAAAACAAGATATAGATCTATGATAAAGCTGAGGGCTATAGCAAGAAATCATATTGCAATTGATAACTTTTCATTTCCTCAACTCAAAACAACACTGTAGCATACACTTATGAAAGAAATGATATTTGTGTGGCCTCTTACATAGAGTTACTCACTATGTCCTTTGCCCGATTCTCCATCATGAAAGCTTCTACTTCTCCATTGCCAAATTCATGCTACTGGCTACTGCATGTACGGAGATGTGCAACATTAGATTGGGTTATTTGTAAAAATGTGTAATTAAAATAATAGTTAATAGCTGCAAACTCTTTCCCTAGACCATAAAGAGATCTAGAAATTTCATGCCATTGAGTCTACTTTTAAATTTAATAGTATCCACTTGAAAAAATCTTTATAATTATGCATTTAAAATAGATTTAGACATGAGACCAAGTGACTGAACAATCCTCCAATTTTTTCATCTTAACGCAGCTTATATACAATCTTTTACTTGTGTGTATAAGTAATGTGTTTTGTTTATTTATTCTTGTCTCTTGCACATATACAATTCTCATGTGTTACATGTGCAATAGTATTTTCTCATGAAATATGAGTTCATTAATCATAGGCATTGTGTGCTACTTATTGCAACTGCCATATGTATATATAGTCTGTATGCTTTCTAATATAGGTGCATTCATTGTTAATGTGCATAGTAATTGTGTATAAATAGCAAACCTGTTTTATTAACTTGTTAATAATTCTTAATACGTATCTAGATTTGTAAAGAACAGTGAGTACTTTGATATTCAATGAGAATCAAGCTTTGATGCTCAAGGCAGATCAAGTCGCTTGAGCTTTGACTCATTCTTTATCCCTATTTCGAACCCCACTTGTGAATAGGATGGATTGATGTTGGATGTAGGTACCAAGGACCATGTAAGAATAAACATTGTGGAATCATGGAAATTTACCGTGTAAAGAGGAATTTGTAATTTGCACCTTCTTCATGGGACAGGCCGAGAGTGGAAGAACTGGTAGATTCTGGCAGTTGCATATTTCAATCATGTATCCATCTGGATCATGGAAGAATATCTGGTCAACTATTATCCCGCCTTCCTTTACCACAGCTTTCACATACTCTATCCTCAGCTCTTCCAGCTGATGAATTATGAGATTCATGTCTGAACATTGGAAAGATATGTGATTGTCTCGTGGATTGATATCCCCCTTCTGTTTGTTGGCTTTCTCTGCTTGCAGTAAGTGGATCCCTATCCCGTGGTTGAACAGCCTGCAAAAGGAAGAGAAAACAAGCAGCGGGAGTTTATGTTGTGGCAATTTTGATCGACAATCTTTTCTGAATAAGTATTTCACATTCATGGAAGCAATTCAAAATTAAACAAAGCATGAAGATGCTATATATAGACTTTTCTTTTTAACAGTTTATGCATTTTGAATAAGATGATTGTAGGATATGTTTATTGGAATTTAAGATGCATACCAGGCCCCTTCGAATTTGAAGGAGGAGGGTCTTTTGATAAGGACAAATCCCAGGACTTGTTGATAGAACTGAGCAGATTTCTCGACTGATTTGCAGACAAAGGAGACGTGGTTCAATGACAGCACAGGTAATACAGGTGATGTTATATTGCTACTGCTATTCATCATTTCTTGCTCGGCTGCTTCAATGCTCATCTCCTTCCCCATACCTTTTCTTGGATTGATTTTCTCTGTGCTATTTTCGGTATTAGAGAACTGTTGGAATGTCTAGATGGGTAACACATATTTATATTTGGTGTATATATGCACATACACACACATGTTGTGTGTATTTGCATATTTATATCGAAAGTCAAAGAATGATGACATGGATAAGAGTTGGAGAATATGACTGTGACAGCAGGCATATTATAGATAGTTCATGTTCGTGCCATTTCATGACACAACTGTCTTTGTACTTCTAATAATTTCATCATGACTGCACATTCCTTATAGTTTGTTTGATCCATTTATTGGGATTTATTTATTTATTTTTTTGGGTGAGTTTTTTATCATGATTTGTGGATATGAATGTGTGAGATTTGTTTTGGATGGAAGCTGGAGAAGGATATTTGGAAATTTTAAAATGTTGACAGGAGGAATGATCCTAGATTGATTGTTTTAAGAAAAGGGCTTTAGATGCTTGCATAGAAACTGATAAGAATTTGGTAGTCAGCGGGTGGGGTGGGTGGCGTGGGGGTTACCGGTTACCTTCTGTTTTGATTTTATTTTTGTATTTCAGGTTGTCTTTTTGAAAGTTTTTAAGGAGCAAATGGTATTAGAATGGAATGTTTTAAATAAAATAATTGTTTGATGGCTTATCTGTATTTGAGGTTTGTTTGTTTAAATAGTACTACTTCCATCCAGCTACCCTTTTTTTTTTTGTTAGTCTTGCAAGAAACAGGTTTTTAATTTTTTTTTTACTTTTGGTAAATTTATCATTTTAAATACACTTAACAAGCATAAATCAATTTTATTATATTTATAATTTTTTATATGTTAGATTTACTCAAAATTCTTTTATTTTTATCTCTCTTTTCAATTAATAAATATTTTTATAATTTTTAATTTTTTTTTATAAAATTAATTTGTAAGCAATGATATATATATATATTTATTTGTTTGTATTATATAAAATTTTATTTTCTACTAGTGATATTCAATATATATATATATTATTGAAATCTAATGTAAAAAATATTATACATATATTTTAAATTTTTTTAATCATATATAGTATACTTGTATTACTTACAATTATTAAATAATTAATTTTAGTATCTAAATAATTATTTTATACTACTTAAACTTTCATACTCAAACAAAAAGTGTCATTTTAAATTGGATCGAGGGAGTATTTTGATGAAATATTGGATTTGTTTGTTTAGTGGAATGGTTTGAAAAAAAATATTTTATATAAAGTACTGAGAATTGTATAAGCAATATAAAAATAATTAGTATATGTAATAGGAGTATATTATTATTATTATTATTATTTTGATAGATGTATTTTTGGGAACATATTTTTCACTAAGAGCACACCTTTGTGAGAAAATAATTTATTTTTGTGGTGAAAAAATAAAAAAAATCAATATATTACATAAATTAATTATTTTTATAATATTTATACAATTTTTTTTTTATCTCACTTAAAATAAAATATTTTTGTTTTCAAATTATTTGACTAAACAAACAAACTCAAAATATTTTATCGAAATACTCTCTCCCCCCACTTAAAATAACACTTTTTGTTTGGACACTATAATTTAAGTAATATAGATTGGTTATTTAAACAGTTTTGGTGAATATTACCAAAAAAAGATATATTCTCCGTTCCCAAGTAATATGTACATATTGTTTATTTTCGTTCGTTCCATATAATTTGTTATTTCTTTTTATAAAAATATGATTATACACATTAGTCACATTTTAAATATTATATTTTATATTTTGTTAATTTTATGTGATCTTAATCTATAGTTATTTTTATTATACAATAATAATTATTATTAATACACTTCTTAATTACTTACTAATTATATTTTACCTAAATTAACATGTATATAGTATTAGACCCAAGTTATACGGGACGAAAGAAATACTATTTATTATAGTTAATTACATAAATTTGATATTCAATATAAAATTACACATATAAACAAAACACAAAGCAAACATTTCATAATTCTCAATAACAAATAATAAAAACAAACAAACAAAAACAAAAATCATAAACTTGACTAAAAGAACACAACCATGTTCTCAAATTTATACGAGTTTACATTTACCCGACATAATGCTTAATTTATGTCGAGGTGATGTTTGGTTGATCTTTAATTTATTGTAAAATTCAGGTTTGATTATACAAATTCACTTGATTATTGGAATTGGCAGTAAATTACATTGAATATATATATATATATATATATAAATTTTTAGGAAATTTTACCTTGACTTAATCCATCTGATTTGCATCTATTTTTAGTATAGTAGTACTTTTTTTGCACAAACTTAGTTAAGTATTTTAATGAAACGAGTACCCAGTCAAATATAATATTATAAATATAATAAATTACTCAACTTGAAAATTGTAGTTAATATATATACAATACTCTTTTCGTATCCATTTTTTCATTTTAATCCGTCCGATGATAAAGTATCCATATTTTTTTTAGTAAACGTACTGTCTACCTAATATTACAAATAGCCTTGCAACTTATAATATATTACACAAATGTCTTTACCTTTATATCACACATACTAATAAGGTTATTTTAGTCATTTCTACTTTATTCCTATTATATCTCAATGTAATACTAATATTTCTAAATCTACGTGCAAAAAAACAAATAGATATTTACTTATGGGACGAAGGGAGTATAATATTTGAGACTAGATTCATCGAGAATAAAAATATATTCAACTAAGTTCGACTATAAAAAAAATATTAAAAAAATAGTTGTTTGCATTGTATTTTGTAATTGTTTTAAAATTATTTTGTTAGTAAAAACATGATAATCGAGTTCAGTTACAAATAGATATTTATGTTTGGGGACTTTCGTCGACAACAAACGTCACTATATATATATATATGTATATATGATTATGTACATTTTAAAAATTCAACATTTCACTGAATGTTTAAAAATTAATTCAGTTTAATTAATACAATTAAAATAATTATATATAATTAATTTAAATCTATTCATCAGGTGCTGAAATATTATTTTCAGCCCCTAATATGGTTTTAACAATGTCTATTTATTTTTACACTAAAAGCTACTCCCTTCGTCCCGAAACTAAGTATCCATTTGCTTTTTGCACGTAGTTTTAGAAATATTAGTATTATATTAGGATATAGTAGGAATAAAGTAGAAATGACTAAAATAACTTTATTAGTACGTGTGTGATATAAATGTAATGACATTTGTGTAATATATTGTAAGTTGTAAGGGTATTTGTAATGTTAGGTAGATAGTACAGTTACTAAAAAATGAAATGGATACTTTGTTATGGGACGGACTAAAATAAAAAAATGAATACTTTGTTATGGGACGGAGGGATGAAGTATTTATGTAATCTATCATCAGATAATAAAAAAGTTTTGGGTACTTTTATTACTTATGATGTAATTTAAAAATTTGTGAAAATTATATAATTGATATATTTGCAATAATTTAAAATATGATGGATCTTTTTATAACTTGTGTTACATCTTAAAATTCGACATTAAAAAAATAATAATAAAATAAAATTATATAACAAAAATGTCTGTTGCAACTTATATACAACAATGTAAAAACACTATTTTATTTGAGAAAATATCACTTTCAAACTAGAAAGTAAAAACTAAAATACAAAACTAAAATCCTGTTAAATAAATAAGATCAACCTTATTATTAAATTCATAGCCCACACCCATAAATTTTAAAAGAAAATGGATTCATATTTAGGTTTCTTGAGGTTGACTTGATCAATAATTTGTTTGTTTTCAAGAACTAAAAATAAAATAAAATAAATGTGTTCACATTGTACTCCCTCCGTCCTAAACACCGTGCAACATTTGTGTTTGGTACGGGAATTTAAGTGTGGAGTATTAAGTATGATAATTTAAGATAATTTGGATATTAAGTGATGTGATTGAAGAGAGAAATGATTATTTATTTTTTATTTGAGTGATGTGACGAGATAAAGTGAAGTGTATATTAATATATGTATATAAATATTATTAATTATTTCTAAATTTGAAAATGTTGCATTGAATTTGGGACAAACAAAAAAGGAAGTATTGCAGGGTGTTTGGGACGGAGGGAATACTTTTTATATTAGATAAAAAAAAAATAATAATAAAAATGTGTTAGTAATATAAATAATAATATTTTGTAATGAAATTGTTGATTTTTCTTAGATGAATAAAATATATATTATATTATTGTACTTAACATTACAAATATTTTAATATTTGTATAATTTTTTTGTATAAACGTCTTTCTATTAGTATTATAAGATATTAATCGAAATATTTGTCATTTTTTCTTAATTTTTACTTACATCTTGATATAATAATTAATACTCCCTCCGTCTCATAAGTAAATATCAATTTGTTTTTTGCAAGCAGTTTTAGAAATATTAGTATTATATTGGGATATAATAGGAATAAAATAGAAATAACTAAAATAACCTTATTAGTATGTGTTATATAAAGATAGTGATATTTGTGTAATATATGGTAAATTGTAAATGTATTTATAGTGTCGGAGAAAATACTAAAAAATAAACATACAACAATAAATGTAAATATTCAGAGTAGACAAAAAAGAGTAATTTTTTAATAATATTTATAATGTGTAGTTTTGGTCAACATACCATCTTAGATAAGACAAGTGTGCATTATATGAAAGGGGTTTGAAATTTAATCTGTATAAATAAATAAATATATAATAATAGTTTATATATATATATATATGCAAATTGATTAGATTTATTTATTTATTACTCTCTCCGTCCAGATACCATGTCGACGTTGCCGTTTATGTCTGTCCCATCTACTATGTCATTTTCCTTTTTTTAAAAATGATTACACACTTTAATTACATTTTAAATTTTTTAATTTTTTTAAATTTTAATTAAACTAATTAGTTATCTTAATCTTAATTTATAATTATTTATCTTATAAGATAATTATTTTTATTAATACATTCTTAATTATTTACTAATTACACTAGCAGACACGGTATTTGGGAATGAAGGAGTATTAATTATAG